AGGAGAAATCAAGATTTATCCCATGAGAAGAGGCAGAGGTTGAAAAGTATTGGTAGCAGAAAATTTGGAAACAGAATATGAGTATGGCCATGCACAAATATAACTGTGGAAGATAGCATCTAACCGCCGATCTTCAGAGATAAAAAGTTGGAGAATTGTTAGACAGCCACAAATACAATAAAGGACCACAGAGCATATTATCATCAAGCTAAAGGTCAGCTGGAGGGAGAGCTGAGTCCATTAAACTCTCTTCAGAGAAAACTGCTGCAAATTAATTTATATTGAAAGATAATTATATCTATTAAATGTCATACTAACATACACACTACAATACAAATAAAATATAATATATTAAATATAGTATTATATTTAAACTAGAGGCCCAATGCACGAAATTCATGCAAGGAGCTTGGCACTCACAGCCCTGGCTTCACTGGAAGGTCATTCAGCTGTCCAGTCTAATTAGCATATTATGCTTTTATTATTATAGATATTGTATATTAGTATACTGTATTTTTAAATACGTTGGTAGCTGGTATTTGTTCTTCCTTTTGGCCCTCCCTTTTGGCCCTTCCTTATAGGAAACTTTTTACAATATAAATTTTTTAGACTATAGATTACAAATATTGATCTATTCAATATACATTTAATGAGCCTTCTAGTGCTGTGGGGACTAGAAATATAGGCAGGCACGGCCTCTGCCTGGCTGTAGTCTTCCCCAGGGATCCTGAAGAAGAAGCTGAAAGTCACACAGCCGGGGCGAGAGCTCTGACTCCACCATGTCTCAGGTTTGTGGAAATTCACTGGCTCTTCAGGAATCCCAGTTTCCACACCTTTCAGCCGAGAATAGCTCCTTGCCTGTTTGCCTTAAATATGCCTTATAAGTCTTGTATCCCACATAGTAGACAATAAATAACAAGCATCCTTATCACATTAAGTATATATGTCAAGGGCCATTAATTTCATGTTGAGACCAGTCAGATGGTTTCGTGTTTTTCTTTAGCCATGTCCTGTAACAATGTGGAAGCTTGCAGTAGTTGGGTAATTTAGATTAGCCAGGGTTGTGGTTTTACCTGATAAAGAGAGAGGGGAAGGGAGCTGCAGATGCTTGCAAGATGGGTTATGAAGGAAGAGAGCACACCAAGAACAGTTAAAAGGTGGTAAGATCCATCATCAGGGAATGAATGTATTTAACCATCTGATGATACATTTGACCCCTCTTTCCCATCCCTACTTCCTGCCCTATTTAAGGTTGTGGCAAAGAACACTGCTTGCATCAAAATTCCAGCTGTGTCCATTCCAAGATCTCTATTCCGTTCCACTTTTATTTTGTTTTAAATTATCCCTGTCCAAAACACATTCTCTTAATTACTATAATTTCAGAATAAAATTCTCGATATTCAATAAGGCAAATCCCCAAGTCATTTTTTTTTTAAATATATTTTATTGATTTTTGTACAGAGAGGAAAGGAGAGAGATAGAGAGTTAGAAACATCGATGAGAGAGAGTCATCGATCAGTTGCCTCTTACACACCCCCTACTGGGGATATGCCTGCAACCAAGGTACATGCCCTTGACCGGAATCGAACCCGGGGCCCTTCAGTCCCCAAGCCGATGCTCTATCCATTGAGCCAAACCAGTCCCGGCCCCAAGTCATTTTTTTCAACATTAAGATGAAATAAATGTTCAGGGGGAAAAGGTGAGATGACTCATCACCAACTAAAGGAAACGGGAAAGAGTAGTCCTGCTGTATAAGAAAAATGATCCGAGTCGGTGGCTCTTGATGTGTAGGAGAACAAGAAAGAGATAAATCTAAACAAATATTGACTTTAAAAAGTAAAAATATTTATCATAATATCATAAGGGTCATAAATAGAAAAAATTAAAGCACTGTGCATGACAACAATAGTATATAAGCCAGGTGGATTAATGAGGTTTGCGAGTTCTAAAATCCTTGCATTGTCATGGAAGAAGATAAATTACCAGTGCTTAGTCAAAGATACATGTCATAACCTCTGGGAAGGAGTTAATTATTAAATATGTAGTAAAAGAATGTATACTTAGTAAGTTAAGAGAAAGAAACCTAAATATTAAAAATATTCAGTTGAGCCAAAAAAATGTGAAATGGAAAGATAGAAGAGATGGAAAAATTGAGAAAACACAATGGTGGAAGGGCATTAACTCTATGTCAGTGAGGATAAAGAAGTGTCTCAGTATCCTGACACAAAGAAAAAGCTAAGATTTCTTACAGCCTGAATGTCATCAAGAAATCCCGTGTGGCTTAAATGTAATTTATGAATGAAAAAATAACCAGTCAGATGCACCATGGAGGGTTGTTCCATTGTTGTCACACAGATATAAAAGGTCCCTGTGATTTGTCTGCCGTGTGGGGAGGCATACAGTCACATAGGGGCTCCTCGCTCTCCACACAGACCTGCTTGTCCCACAATCTTACTTCTGCTCCCAGACTCGGAAAACACGAGCATTTGCGAGAGGGACATCTCTGCGAATTGACTTAGAAAGACAGATAGGTAAACGTGTTCTATTTCTAGGATACTTTTTGTTCACTTTTTTTTAGTTTAGAACTTGCTACTTTCTCAACTATCTGTCTTTTTTTTTTTTTTCTCCCTAAGTATTCTTTGATAGAAACTACAGAGTCTATCATTTCCTTATAGGCTAATGTCCCCCAATCACCACCCCGTCTTCTTTTAAACGAACCAATTTCAATTGTTTTAGTCCCAGAGTATCTTTAGTCCCTCGTGCCCTGACCACCTGTTAAGACTCATGAAGAGAAGGAATTCTGGTTGATCAAAGGGGAGAATCTTCGTGGTGATGGTAGACAGGATGAGAAGAAAAACCTTTTGAGGAAAGATACTTAAGTAAATGTATTTCTATCACGTAATTCCAGATCGCACCATAATCTCAATCAACTCCCAGCATAGTCTTCAAGTCAAGTTCTAGCTCAAGGTAAGGGACAAAGCAGATGGAGGTAAGTGGCACATTAAAGAGAGGGTGGCAGAGCTGCTGGCTCCTATTCCAGTCTTTCTTCATCAGCCTCTTCTAACTGTAATCTTCTTAAAGTATATATTTTTTATTGATTTTTTTTTTTTTACAGAAAGGAAAAGGATAGATAGTTGGAAACATTGATGAAAGGGAAATATCAATGAGCTGCCTCTTGCACAACCCCTACTGGGGATGTGCCCACAATCAAGGTACATATAATACATGCCCTTGACGAGAATCAAACCCAGGACCCTTGAGTCTGCAGGCTGACACTCTATTCACTGAGCCAAACCGGTTAGGGCTAACTATAATCTTTTAACTATAATTCTAGGTATCATTTATGAGGCGCCTCCTATGCCAAGCACTTTACACACATTATATCTAATCTTAATAATATCCCCATTTTCAGAAGGCTCCACCAAGAATTAAATAAACTGCCCAAAATGGCAGAGGTGAGAGTCATACCTGGGTCTGTCCAACAACACCTGCTCTTGTACCATGCTCCGCGTAAGGTTCTCTGGAAACCCAGGAAAACCCTGGGATGATGTTTCTGTTACAGCAGGAGCAAGGACCAGCCGGTTAGGAAGAAAAGCCATATTTATTGAGCACTTACTACGTTTTAGGCATGATACTAGGTCCCTTTACCTTCTTAATTCACTTATTCCTCACAGTAACCTAATAAGGGAGATGTTTCTTTTCTTTCTTTCTTTCTTTATATTTTTTATTGATTTTTCACAGAGAGGAAGAGAGAGGGATAGAAAGTTAGAAACATCGATGAGAGAGAATCATTGATCAGCTGCCTCTTGCACACTCCCCACTTGGGATATGCCCGCAACCAAGGTACATGCCCTTGCCCCGAATCGAACCAGGGACCTTGCTGTCTGCAGGCCGACGCTCTATCCACTGAGCCAAACTGGTCCCGGTGGGAGATGTTTCTATCCTCTGCTTACCTAGGAGGAAACTGAGGCCTTCAAAGGTCAGCTAAGTGTCCAAAGTCATATAGCTAATAAGATGTAAAAGTCTGCCCTAGCCAGATTGGCTCAGTAGATAGAGCGAGGGGCCCGAGGACTGAAGGGTCCCAGGTTCGATTCCAGTCCAGGGCATATCCTGGGGCTGTGGTCTGGATCCCCAGTGAGAGGCTTGCAGGAGGCAGCCAATCAATGATTCTCTCTCATCACTGATGTTTCCGTCTCTCTCTCCCTCTTCCTTCCTCTCTGAAATCAATAAAAATGTATTTTTAAAAATGTGAAGGCCTGAGTTTGAATCCCACTGGCTTCAGAGCCTCCATCACTTACTGCTTCATGTTTTAGACCTTTCCTTTTTGGATGAGTACAGAGAAACTAATCAGGAGGAATAAGAAAAACCATACAGGGGACTCAAGCAGATGCTAGGTGTAAGACAATTCAGTATAGGAAGTCCAAGGTCAGAGAGCGGGGAGCCAGGGGCGGCACTGGGACGCGACCCTGGTCCCGCTGGTGCAGCCTGGGGCAGGACTAACCTCCTCTCTGGGCATCGATTTCTTGTTTTTGGATCAGGTGATCTCTGAAGTTTTTCCCACCCCAAAGTTCTGTCTCCCAGTAGCAAGAGGGCACCGACGACTGCCTCTCCTCCAGGGCGCATAGCGTGGTGCTTCGGAGGTGGGTGGGTCGGGTGCCTGCAGGACCAGCCCTAGGGATGCAGGAATGGGAGGCGAGTCTGTGCTCTCTCTCGGTCCCCGTTCTCCCTCGAGACCCCCCCCCCTCCCACACACACACACACCACCACCACCGCCAGCCCCTGCCCCCCAGAACTGCTAAGCCTCCTTGGACGTGTCCCCGCCAAGGTTTGACGAGACCACTGAGCGCCTGCAGAGTGTGCCCCGGGCTCTCCGGGGGCCCCGGCGGAGCGGGCTTATCGCCCCGGCTGGCGGGCTGGCGGCGGGCCCGGTGGGCGGCGGCCGCGGCGGGCGCCCCCGGCGGCGAGGGCGGCGCGCGGGGCCCTCTCCCTCCGGCCGGCGGGGCGGCGCGGCGGGCGGCGGCGGGGGCTGCGCCGCGGGCCCGGGCCGGAGCCCCGGCGGCAGCGGGAGGCGTCGCTGGGCCCCGGCGCGCGCGCGGGGGGCGGGGGCGAAGGCGCGCGAGCAAAGTCCAGGCCCCTGGTCGCAGCGCCCGGCGCCCGGCGGCTCGGCCACAGGCGCGGGAGGTCCGAGGTGAGCAAGTCCCTGCGCGCCGGGGGGAGAAGGGGGACCGGGGCGGAGGGGGGACCGGGGCGGCGGGCGGGAGGCGAGGACGGCGGGATCCTTCCCGGCGCCCCGGCCCCCGGCCCCCGGGCTCCGCGCCCCTGCGCTCGGCTGGACCCCCGGGCGGGGCCGCGGGGAGGCCGGCGGGGACCTGAGCTGTTCTCTCCCCGCAGGCGGCGATGGACGTGGAGGCGGGAAGGAACGGGACGGCCCGGCGCCCCCGGAGCGCAGACGGCGACTTGGAGCTGAGCAGCCGCAGGTACCTCCCCGCGGCTCCGGCCCCGCGCGCCGGGCGGCCGCGCCGGATGCGGCCCCGGGGGCAGGCGGACCGCACCGGCTGGATGCGGGGCCGCGGCGCCGGCGCCTCTTTGGGTTTGGGGGGGTCTCGGCTGCGATCCTGACCTCTCCCCCCGGGAAGGTCCTGCGGCTCCTGGGACCGCGGGCTCGGGAAGAGGCTGTCTCTCTCCCCTTGGTCCAGGCAATTCGATGGGACCTGTTGTTGTGTAACATTCCTTGTGTTATATAACTCAAAACTTTACAAACAACTTTCATAAACATCCTCTGATGTGTTCGTGCGTATAGAGCATCCAGCATGGGCCGTGGGTGGGTGTGCTTTCAGAACGAGGGCCGGGAACCAGCTCCCTCCTCCCCCTCCTTGTGGCTCTTCCTCCACGTCCTCCCCTCCCCCTCCTCCCAGCGCCGGGCGGGTTCCCCATTTCTCAGCCCTGGGCCTGGATGGAGGTGGGGAGGGGGCCTTGGGCATTCTTCTGTACCCCGCGCTCCCGGATCGGTTTTTGTTCCAATTCAAGGGGCATCCCCCCTCCCCTCCTCGGGGCTTCCTCTGCTCGGGTTTCTGGCTCTTTGGCTCCCGGGGACCCTTGTTCGGTGCCCTTCGCAGGCCTTTCGTAGGAGCAGAAGCCGCCGCCGGTCAATAGAGTGCTGTCTTTGTTTCCTCTTTCACTGTGGGAATCGTGAATCATTTTCGCCTTTTCGCCTCAAATAGTTGATGAGGCAGTTACGGTCTCTGAGTTCACAGCAGGCCATCCAGCACGAAAGGACCCGTGTCGCGGAGTCATCACCCAGAGAGACGCTTTTATCAAGTTCGCTTAGTGTGGCCTCCAGCTGCAAGGGGCCTGATTAAGCCAACTGAAATGGGCCTATCTGATGTTGAAACCGAAGCCTTTATTGTGGGCTGTTGACTCCCTCTTGCAGGGGTAGGGCTCTGCTCCCTCTGAGTTCCATGACACCCATTCATGGAAAGTCCAGTGAGCCCGGTAGAACTGGGGAGCTGGATGTCTGGTGGAATTTCTACCGGAAAGGCACGGTATTCATCAGTTGGCAATTGAGTCTGGGATTGACTGTGACTCTATAAATAGGTGGCATTTTCACCAGGAAGGCTATTTGTGTATTGCCTTGGCTGAACATTTGATAAGTGTACAAAGGAGCTATCCCCAAGGAAGAAGAAGAAAGAAGAAAATGCAGTTAACGCTCCAGAACCTAAGGGGGTTCTCAGAAATGGAGCTCACAGCCTTGTGCTGGAAAGAAGAAAACAGTTCAAAAGAGAATGCAGGAAGTTAAGAAGACAGTAAGCCTGTAAGATTGTGAAATTAAATGTAATGAGGCTAATTTTTACAAAAAGCTTCTGTAGTCAAAGGGAGTTAAGCTCATCTCCCTGGTCTAGGGAAAAGGCAAGCTTTGTTACACGCTTATTCCGATCATGCTGCTATTGCCTGTGGCACGTTCATATAAACATTTTGTGGCAGATGTCTGCCCTTTGATTTTAGCAAGTGTTCTCAGTAATTTGGGATCAAGTTTTATGAGTTAACTTTATCAGCTACCAGAAAATGTAAACCAAATAAATGAACTTTAGGTAAACACACTCACACACACACACACACAATTCTGCCCTCATGGAATGAATTTACATTATTGTATGGCAGACAGACATAAATAATACACAGCCTAAATAAGTAAACCACTTAAATGTTAGAAGATAATGGCCGAAACTGGTTTGGCTCAGCGGTAGAGCGTAGGTTTTCGGACTGTGAGGTCCCAGGTTCGATTCCGGTCAAGGGCATGTGCCTTGGTAACGGCACATCCCCGGTACGGGGATGTGCAAGAGACAGCTGGTCGATGTTTCTCTTTCATCGACGTTTCTAGCTCTCTGTCTCCCTTCCTCTCTGTGAGAAAAATCAATAAAATATATTGGAAAAATAAATAAATAAATAAATAAATAAATAAATAAATAAATAAATGTTAGAAGATAATGAATGCGGTGGAAAAACATTTGTCAAGAATAAGGACATCAAGAGGGCGACAAGGAAGCAGCCTGTGATTTTAGTCAGGGAGGTGAAGGTAGGTCTTATTGAGGAGGGCAGATTTGAAAGGAATGAGAGGAGGGCGAGTGTGGGTGTCTGAAGAGAGCTTTCTGGCAGAGGCATCTGAGAGGTGAGGACCCTGCGAGGGGATGATGCTGGCTGTGTTCACCGGCAGCAGAGAGGCCAGGGTGGCGGGGGCAGAGGAAGCAGAGGTGGCAGTGGGAAGTGTGGTTGGAGAGGTCACAGGAAACAGATTGTGTGGGGCCCTAGCGGCCAATGTAGGGTTTGGATTTGACACCTGAGAAAAACGGGAGCCCTTGTAGGCTTTTGAGCAGAAGAGACTCAGCATAGACTGACTTGAGTTTTTAAGTGAATTGCGCTGGCTGCTGTGTGGAGGTACATTAAGGTGGGCATACCAGTAAGTGGAAGTAGAGAGACGAGGCGGGCATTCTCCTGGGCTGATGGTATAGCAATGAAAGTGGTGCGCAGTGGTTGAATTCTGGATGTGTTTTGATTATAGAGCAAACAAGATTTCCTGACACCATTCCCCACACCCTTCAGAAGAGTGGCCTTTACTATTTTTAGAACAATATGTTTTTTATCCCAAGAAGAATTTACAGTAATCCCCCTTTTATCCATGGGGAATGTCTTCCAAGACCTTCCAGTGGGTGCTTGAAACCTCAGATAGCACTAAACCCTATATATTATGTTTTTTCTATACATACATACCTATGATAAAGTGTATTTTATAAATTAAGCACAGTAAGAGATGAGCAATAATAACTAAATAAAATAGAGCAGTTATAACAACATACTCTAATAAAAGTTATACAGGATGGGGCAAAAGTAGGCTTACAGTTACATATGGAAAATAACAATAATTAATAAATAAGAAATAAGAATAAACTCTGAGTTTGGTACTCATAAAAGTAAACCTGCTTTTGCAAACCCCCCCCCCCACAGTATGAATATGAATGATCTCTCTCTCTCTCTCTCTCTCTCTCTCTCTCTTTCTCTCTCTCTCTCTCTGTCTCTCTCTCTGTCAAAACATCTTATCATATTGTACTCACCCTTCCTCTTCTTGTGATATGATAAAATGCCTAGTTAAGTGAAGAACTAGGTGGATGTCACTTAAAGAAAGCACTTTCTGGCTTCTCTTTGGCATATCCAAATTGCCAGCATCACTGCTCTTGCACGTGAGGCCATTATTAAGTAAAGCAAGCTGACTTGAACACAACACTGTGCTAGCACGACAGTCAATCCGATAACCGACCAATTGGCTCCTCAGTGCCTGACAGGAGGGTAGCATCTACAGCACAGACATACTGGACAAAGTGATGACTCACGCCCTGGGCAGGATGCAGCAGGACAGCGTGAGATTTCATCACGCTACTCAGAACCGCATACAATTTAAAGTTTATGAATTGTTTATTTCTGGAATTTTCCATTTAATATTCTCAGTCCACAGTTGGCTGTAACTGAGACTGCAGAGGGCAAAACCGTGGATTGGGAAGGGTGCCTACTGTAATCCGTTTGGCAGGCACAGTTAGCATGTTCGTCTTCCCTGTGTGTGTGAGCTCTGTTAGGCAGGTGACCATTTCTGCTTACCCAGAGAGTCCTGTAGTACCTTGGACAGTTACCTTAGTGAAAAGGGGATTGCCTAGAAGTATGTTACACTGAATGATTTTGACAATCTGTGGCCAACACTGTTTTGTATTGGCAATGTTATAAAAGGTGAATTTATATTCAATTGACTGTGAAATATTTGTAATAGTTTTAAATTAAAGCAATTGTGTGATTTTTTTCAGCAACCAAGACAGGAAAAAAATGAAGAAAGTGAATTTAATCGGACCATTAGCATTGGTAAGCTATAGTAAATGCGATCGTCGTTCCTTCGTTCAGATTTGGTGTCTTGAATCGATTTACTGAGTTACTGAGCTAGGACTTTAAGACTGTCTGCAGGCAGCGATAGATTTCCCCCTGTGTGAGGTTGGCTCATTGCAGTCACGGCTCACATTCTCAAGGTGGATGACAAAAGAGGCAGGGGTAAGCTGGCTGTGAAACAGAGCAGAGCTGACTGGTCCACAGGGAAATTGAAAATAGGACTTGTGTTTGTACACCAAAAAAACTAACCCATTTCAGAAAAGAAAAAAAATCTCTGTATCCGTTTCACAAAACCCCACAAATTCAGCTTAAAATAAGATTGCATACAACGTGATCATTAATCATAGAAAATTTAAGATAATCCAAGAAAACATTAAATGTAGAGTAACTACTAGGGATTGGATTATGTGCAATCCAATTCTCGATGATGTCCGCTGGTACAAGGCAAGCCAGCATGTTTTTGGAAGAAGTCTGATCTGTTTTTCATTTGTAATATGTCTCAGAGGGGCAGCCCAAGAAAATGTTTGCCCACATTTGATAAATATGTGTTTCAAGTGATGACAGCCAATACTCAAAAGAAGTTGGTTATTAAGTGGCATCCGTTGAATCTCCCCTCCCCCTGCCATAATAAGCAAATGAGTGAAAAGACAGCAAAATATCCTAGGTTTTGAGCCTCTTGGAGATTTCCCATGTCCAAAGCCCCTAATCATTCTCTCCTTATTCTCCTGAAGTTTTTGTCTTCGTAAGAGGTCTTTGTGTGTGTGTGTGTATGTGTGTGTGTGTGTGTGTGTGTGTGTGTGTGTTTGTGTTTTAAATTGAATGCTTTAGAGAATAAATAGTAAAACTAGTTCTGGTTTTAATGCACCAGTTTTAAATTGCCTCTTACATAAAGTAAAATATCCCAAACCTTAAAGTAGAAACATGGAAAATTTCACCTGAATTTAAAAGTTAAAATTTAAATTAAGTTTAAATGTAATCTTTTTCAAACTCTGAATAGTATTTTTTTGTGTCCTGAAAGAGGTTCAGGACAGAATGGTACTCTTTTTCTCCCCTACTTTCTCTCCTTTTTTATTTTTCAATGATAGTTGACATATAATATTATATTAGTTTCACATATACAACGCAGTGATTAGACATTTACAAAACTGTACCATAAAGGAGTTTGCAATGCATTGTTTTGTTGAAAATCACTGAAAAACATCTAGGTTTACTTAGGCTATTGCTATGAAATTTGTGTAATTTTAAACTTAAGCTTAAATACAAACATTTTTATTTAGTAATTTGGAAAGCACTTAAAGCATTCTTCAATGTCATGCCAATGTTCAGTAAGGAGAACATTACACCACAACCAATCCTGTGTTCGTAACTGCAGCCCACAGATCCAAGTGCTCTGTCTCCCTCCCCCGGGGGGGCCACTAAATTGAACCCTGGGGACACAGTTCCCTTTTGTAGCAATTATAGGGTCCCTTTTCTGTTTGCTCTTGACTTTATCTCCTCCCCTGGTTTCGTCCCAAGCTCCACCTGGCTCTGACCTTTTGTCGCTGTTGGCACTCTGGCGTGCCCTGTGTGTTTGACGGTGGAATTTGGCCTTCCCATACAGAACTTTGGGAACTCTCTGAGAACAGTTTGCACACATCCCCCCTCCCCACCATGGGTGTCTGACCTCAGCCTGCCTCTCAGATTGACCCTGTCTGACCCAACTTTTGCTCTCAAGGATCCCATGCCGCCAAGACTGACTCAACATCCATTCTCCCAATGGCGGTTCCTTGTCCCCACAAGGGGGATAGGTGGGAGGAGGAAAATGGGTGGAAGGAAAATATTAAAAAGGGGGGGGAGAGATGCAAGAGACAGAGGGAAAGTATAGAAGTGGGAAATTAAAAGAATTAAGATGCAGTCTGGAAGGCAGAAAAGGAAAGACGAATAAAGAAAGAGCCATGGAACCATTGATCTAAAATGTGGAAAGTGAGAAACAGGAGAGGACTGAAAAGACAGTGGGGGAAAAGTCTTGAAAGCATGGGGACACTGATGGGCTACACTCCACTGTGTCCCCCTCTAAGTGATAATACTAAGTGCATTCATTGTACACGGGTAGTACTAAGACCAAGGTCCTTGGTGCAGCCCGCAGCCTTTCTCCCTCTCTCCAATGTCCTCTCCCACACTTCGCACTGAGCAAGCACTTCAGGAATGCTACACTGTGGAGCTCCCTGAGGATTCCATGCAGTTTCTGGTCGCCTGGGTGTTCTAAGCCTACTGCATCGCTACTGTTGCACTTGGGGCCATGATTAAGTAAAATAAGCTGACTTGAACACAGCACTGAGAATTTCACACAACTGTTACAAATGTGCTGACCTTACATAAAAATCCAAAGAACATGTAATTGTGGAAAAGGGTAATTCTATCCCACAAGGTAAACTAAGTATTATTTTATTTCCTTTTTTTTTTTTTTTTTTTTTTTTAGTTTCGATATTCCGATTGGCAGGATAAATTATTTATGTCCCTGGGCACAATCATGGCCATAGCTCACGGAGCAGGTCTCCCCCTCATGATGATAGTATTTGGAGAAATGACCGACCGATTTGTTGTTACTGCAGGAAACTTCTCCTTTCCGGGTAAGCATTTCTCAACTCCCTCCCCCCGCCCCCCCCTTTTTTTTTAATGCACAGTACTCCTTTAAGTACATGAAGGATTAGAAAGAGACTGTTCTTCATTGTGCACTTGTGTAATGATTTAGCCATCTGGGTGACTTTAGATATCATGGAAGTTATAAAATTCTCAGAAAATTCCTCAACTAGTCCTTTAAGTTTTAAGAAATAGGTGTATGCTGATTGAAAGGATGAGGAAATATACAGAATGCTCTGCCTCTAAATAAAGTCAGGCAGTCACTCTATTTTAGGACGGGGGAGCTGTAACAGTATCCATCCCCTCAGCGATCCCTGGTGAACTTCAGAATACACCAGTCACTGCCAGTACTTCCTAGCTGTGCTCAGCTTGTAGATATGTTTCTGCTTCTCTTTTTTCTCTTCCCACCTTTTTTGTTAAAACTATAGCCATTTTTTGTGTCTACATCTGGATCAGCCAGGTTGGCAGGAACTTGATGTAGCACTTCACTAAAGGGTGAATGGATTCAGCAGGAGAAGGATGCGGATGCACCAAAAGGACTATCGTTACTGAAGGGCCAGAGGAGTCCCAGAGGTTAAGGTCATCTAAAGAGGGGCTGTGGCAACAGCGTGCTAGGGAGGTTCTGATGGACGTAGCTGTTTTTCACATTAGTCAAATTCCACATAGGAAGGAAGAGTCCCATGCTTTGTACCAACCCTAAGACTTCATTCTTCCATGTGAGCATTAGACTGGAAAAGACTGAATGGAGCTTATATATATTATAAGCTCCATTCAGTCTTTTTTTTTTTTACAGAGAGGAAAGGAGAGGGAGAGAGTGTTAGAAACATCGATGAGAGAGAAACATCCATCAGCTGTCTCCTGCACACCCCCTACTGAGGATGTGCCCGCATCCAAGGTACATGCCCTTGACTGCAATCGAACCTGGGACCCTTCAGTCCGCAGGCCAACACTCTATCCACTGAACCAAACTGGTGAGGGCCTGAACGGAGCCTTATTGGTATACATGGTAGAACATAAGGACAAAATACCGATAAAGGAAAGGTAGCTTTCATAGCAAAGAACCTAAGAAAAAGTAGGCCCCCATCATTTGGAGAATATTCGGTAAGAGTTTTCAGGGTTCACTGACTGAGCACTATAATGTTTGTTTAGCACAGTAGGATGTAAGTGTGAATACCTCAGAGAGGGCCTACTTACATTAATAGTGATAAACATTAATGCCTTTTAGAAAGTAAAAGCATCCTTTGAATTTTAAGGAAAGCTCCTACAAAACCAGTTTTTTTTTTTAATTCTCAAGTATTGTTGCCTCTGAGAAGACCCTTTTATAATAAAAATAACCACAATGATAGCAATCTTCTATTGTATTTTTTGTCTGCTGGGTCCTGTTTCATCTAACCCTCACAAGAACAACCCTACACAGTGGGTAATATTATCCTCTGTGACAGATGAGACTAGGAGAGGATTAAAAAACCTTGTCCAAAGTTACACAGATGGTGAGCATGAGGACAGAATTCAAATCCAGGTCTCTCTGCCATCCAAACCATGCTCAAATGAGCAACCGGTATATGTAAATAGAGTATACTGCCAATGTAAATAATCTTGCTTTCTCTTTTAAAAAGAAATGAGTTTGAGAAAGTTAAATAGATTACCAATGCTTAACCAGTGACCAAAATTTTAGCATAAATACCGGAAAGGTAAAATTGGAGTTGATTTATAATAGTTTAAAAAAATATTTAAGGAAATGAGGGGTAGGAGTTTTCTATTTACTTTTTAGAAATTCTGTAGACCTATTATGCATTGGTTATGTAGATGTATAAAGCAGGATGATGTGCACATTCAGGCAGTTAATCCAAAATTGGTTTCAATTCAGGGTTTAAAAAATTCAGATTAACAGATGAATGGGTAAACAAAATGTGGTATGCCAGACAATGGAATAATAGCCTTCAAAAGGAAGGAAATCCCAGCACACACTACCTCAATATAAGCCTCGAGGACATTATGCTAACTGAAATAAACCAGTAACAAAAATACAAATACTGTATGATTTCACTTATATGAAGTATACAGAGTAGTCAAATTCACTGAAACAAAAACTGGAATAGTGGTTACCAGGCACTGGAGGGAGGTGGGAATGAAAAGTTGTTGTTTAATATGTTGAGTTTCATTTTGGAACATAAAAAGTTCTGGAGATTGATTATACAGCAGTGTGTGTATACTGAACACTATTGACCTGTACACTTAAAGATGGTTAATTTTATGCGATGTATATTTTTTATCACAATTAAACTTTTAAAAAATATATCAAATTAAAACAATGCAACACATTGATCACGGATAAGTTAGCATTTGTACTAGTTTTATTAGTCTTGTTTTTAGAATACCAGGATACTTCAACTTTCTTATTTGGAGCAGTTTGCTTGTGTTTTTTTTTTTACTTGTTTCTAATTATGCAACTGAATTGCTTTGAAGCTGAATGTGGCAGACAGCTGGTTTGTGCTGTGCCCAGGACCAAATTCAAGGTCTCTCTGGGGAATGGCACAAGCAAGTGGCTTACAGACCTGTGGTTGCTGGAGTGCTAAGCTCAGCAGAGTTGCCAGCTTATTGTCAGTGGCCTCCAAAGGCTATGACCCTTGGTCTTCCGCAGCCACGTTGGATAGTAGGCCTATTGGCTGTCTCAGGGGATTTGGAAGGGAAAGTTCCTCCCATGTTTTTAATTTCAATGTCCACTCTTTTTGTAGTTTGTGAAAATAACATTCTCATATCTCTTTGGAGAAAACAAAATCTTTAGATTTCAAACTCACTCTAGATCCAGAGAGATCGTTGACATGTTTAGAATTGTAGAGTTTATCACCCCTCATGGAAGTTGGGAGAAGACAGAGTACTTAGCTGAGCCCCCTAGCTTACCTCACAGAGATCGTGTTTATTTAGAGTCCATTCTTTAGAATTGTTGGGTTCTTGGACACCTACATGAGAAGGAAATATTAGAAGGAAAAACAGTTTAAGTTGCAAGAGGGTCTGACAATGATTTATTGTGAGCAGAACCCGTCCCTGTCAACAGGATAAAGTCACTCCGTGACAAGGTCGTTCCCTCACAATGACTCAGTTGTGCAGAAACTATGCATAAAACATTCTGCATCCAAACCTTAAGGACAGAGTCTTTAGAAACAGTTTTTCTGCAGAGTATCAAGAATTTGATATATTTTATGCCAAGTCTATGCCACTGTAATAATCTAGGATAGTCTGTGGGGAAATCAATATGCCCTGCATGTCCTTGCATTGCTCTGGGATTAAGAGGAAAATGTAGCTCTGGCTGGTTTGGCTCAGTGGGTAGAGCATCCGCCTGTGGACTGAAGGGACCTGGGTTCGATTCTGGTCAGGGCACATGCCCAGGTTGAGGGCTTGATCCCAGTAGGGGGGCGTGCAGGAGGTGGCCAATCGATGACTCTCTCTCGTCATTGATGTTTCTGTCTCTTTGGACTTTCCTCTTCCTCTCTGAAATCAATTAAAAAAAAAATTTTTTTTTTAAAGAGAAAATGCATTTTGAGCCCCCTCTTTTCTTAACTAACTGCCTATGCTGCCTAAGCTACCTGGACACAACACCATCTCTTTGTTTTGTGCTGAATTTTCTATATGATAAAGAAATTTTAGGTAGAATTGAAGAAGACAGACATTTATTTACTTTAAAATTCAAAAGTGACAGTTGGGACTCCCTATGCAATGTCTCCTTAAGTAACCCTTACAGTATACAGTTATTATTTAGGCCCTTCACTCACCAGCTGCATGACCTTGGAAAAGTTACTTAACCTCTATAGTTCTCACTGTTCTTATCTTTGAAGGTAAGCATAGAATTAAATGAGTTGTTTTATGTAAAGAGTTAAATGAGATCATTTATGTAAAGTGCCTGGAACATAGTAAATGATCAATTAATATTGGGGAAAACTAGCTGTGGGAACTTGGAAATGAAGTAACTACTCTGGAATTATGTTTATTCATCATCTATAAAATGGGTGAATGCTCTGGGAGTTCTCAAAACTGAATTAGGCAGCTTCAAAGAATTCCCCATTCCCTTGTCATGGAGGCATTCAGGAAGAGGAGAGGGAGAGTTCTCCATGTGGACGCATTAGGATCAAGTGGAGATACTTTTAGAAACATGATCTCTAGGCTCAGTCAAACATTCTGACTTAAGGTGTTTGGTGGGGCCTGGACGTCTGTAATATTGCAAGCTCCCCATGTCATTTTGACAGACAGTGTTAAGAACTTACAAACCAGATAACTATTTGGAGCTTGTTTATGAGACAGAAGCATAACAGGTAGCATCTGAGAGAACAGTTCTACACCCTATCCAGATCTAGAATCCCATGAGATTTCTAGATCTAGAACACCAGATCTGGAACCGCTAATTCCAGTTCTAGAACTCCATATTTCCAGATTTAGTATTCCAGAGCTAGAATCCCATGACTCTTCTAGGAACACATTGTCTCGCCTTTTTCTCCAAGCAGCAGAAACTCTTGGTTTTCTGAGATTCTGGAACTCCTTGGATTACAAATCCAGAACTAGATTGCCCTTCTTGGCCTGGGACTTGAGAAAGAAGTAGGTCAAATTTGGAATGCCATAAATTCTTATTTCCTAGGAGGGAGGATCAATTTGAATTATAATATCCTCACTGAGAGAATTTAAAAGTTTGACATAAGTGTTAGAGGAGAGTAAAACTCATTTAGGATTTCTAAGTTCAAGGAAAAAATAGCCCTATTGACAGCCCTAGCTGGTTTGGCCCAGTAGATAGTCTGTTGGCCTGCAGACTGAAAGGTCCCAGATTTGATTCTGGTCAAGAGCACATGCCTGGGTTGCAGGCAATGATTCAGTCATTGATGTTTCTATTTCTCCTCCCTTCCTCTCTGAAATCAATAAAAATATATTTCAAAAAATTAGCCCCGTACCCATATACCTGGAGGTTTCCCAAGGTTTTGAACAATAATTCTACAAGTACCACAGCTTTAGAATAGCTTTGTCTGCCTCTAATTCCAAACACAGCTCCAATTTGGCATATCAAAGGTACCTATTTAAGAACTCAGAAGGAACTGAACACACAGAACTGAACTGATAAGAACGGGAGTAAAATAGGGCATGTTTCCTCCAGGGTCTAATAGCTGAGGGAGAGCTGGAGTAATAAGCACTTTACTGTGAACATCAGTAGAATTTATAATCCTGAAGGGAAAAGTTATGCCTGGTAATTGATCCTTATAGTAGTTTAAGTTTTAAATAAAATTTCAGCCTTATCTCTGTTTGGAAGAAGATAAGGAGGATACACAGAACCCAGAAAACATGACCTCTGGGTTGTTTATAAAGGAGTAAAGATTAACTAGTTTCTCTCCTAGCATCATGGGAGATGGGAAATCCCTACCCTGGCATGTTTTCTCACCAATACCATAGTGATGATACTTTATCCTATTATTTTGTGGATGCCATAGATATAGTCTGTTTCCTTTTTTTTTCTCCCCCACTTTGTGTTTTTTTTAAGAAGTGAAAATAAGTGATTACCACATGAATCAGTCAGCATAGTATAGTATTAAGAGCTGTACAGTACACTGTTAGGACTCTCAGCCTTTCGCTGGCTGTCTGACTTTGGGTAAGTTGCTTTATCTCTCTGAGCTTCGATTTCCTCATCTGTACAATGGGGATTCCTAAAACAGTCCTACCTCAGTGGGTTGTTGTGAAAATTAAGTGAATTAATATAGGTAAACTGTTTTCAATAAATGCTAGCTATAATGAAAACCAGGAAAGCACACTGACGTTTTAATCAAATGAGCTCAAGTAAATGGATAGTACATTTCCTTCTAATTAATACTGCTTTAAAAATACCAGAATACACTTTTGCTAGCAAACAAGACATGGAACACAGGATGGTGACTCATTGCCAAAGATCATTAAGATCTTGTCTTTTGGTTTTCTTCCTTTACAATGCACGCAATTCAGCCTTTCTGTTACTTAGGTTGTGAGGAAGCATCTCAGGAAAAACACACATATATTAAAATAAAATTTACAGAAGCAAGTATCTGTCAAGTCCTTTGAGCCACTTAGAAAAGAGGGCCCCTTAAATCCTGTATTTTGTGTTTGGGCCATTTCTTTCTTCCTCCTCTGCCTTCTGTGGCTCCTCTCAGCTGCCTTAGGAAGCTGCTCTGCTGAGGGCCGCAGACCCAGAGGATGGTGGGAGAACCTGAGAGGGCTTATCGTACCCATTGGAGCCTCCATGTCCAGCACCTAAACCCTTGGGTTGTTTCCTTGAGTAAAGTGAAGAGTGCGCTTGAAAGTGAAAAGAAAGAAAAAAAAAGATTTTTAAAGCCCAGCAATATCTATTAATAGTTCAACTTTTCAAAAATGTCTCATTTTTGTTTCGTTTTGTTTTTATTTAGTGAATTTTTCATTGTCAATGTTAAATCCAGGCAGAATTCTGGAAGAAGAAATGACTAGGTAATTGGCTAATATATATATATATATACTCTTTACCTTTTGTTATACTCTTTAACCTATTATTATCATTTATACCACCTCCAACCCTAACCCCACCATTTGAAGTAAGTTGCATACATCATGGCCCTTTACTAATAAATACTTCAGTGTGGTTCTTAAGAATAGGATGCTTTCTTCATAACCACAGTAAATTTAATATTGATACTCTACTCTGATCTAATCTGCATTCCAACTTGGTTAGCTGACCCAGTAATGTCATTTACGGCATTTCCCCCCTACTTTAGCCTTCTTGGTGGAAATCTCAAAAGCCTATAACATAATGTTTGTGTGTTTAACGTATCAATTAAAGTTACTGATATAAATGAGTACTATCTGTATGCGATAGCAGGACTGAAGGGCTCTATCTGGAAGATGTTTGTAAAATTATATAAAAGGTATACTTGAAATTATTCAAACTGAATTTATTATTTTTTAAAGATACTAACTTTTGCCCTAGCTGATTTAGCTCAGTGGATAGAGCATCAGCCTGCGGACTGAAGGGTCCTGGGTTCAATTAGGGCACATGCCTAGGTTGTGGGCTCAATGCCTGGGTAGCGGGGCATGCAGGAGGCAGCCTATCGATGATTCTCTCTCATCATTGATGTTTCCATCTCCCTTTCCCTTTCTCTCTGAAATCAATAAAACTATATTATAAAAAACGATACTAACTTTCCTCTGATTTAGTTAAGCCCTCACTCCAAATTAATATAAAATTTTAACACACTATTAAATATCTCCCGCCCAAATTCCGCCAAATAGAAAGGGTGTTTTTTTGTTTGTTTTCTTTGTTTCTTTGTATAAACAATATAAGAAACACTTAACATGGTCAGTCTGTTTATACCTTTACTTGAAATATGTTGAACAGTAGTGAACTTTTTCAGTACAAGATATGCAAGTCTAGAATAGTAATTGTAAAAAAAAAAAAAAAAAAAAAAAAAAAAAAAAAAAGAACTGTATTTGGTGAATATCTATAAATTGTCAATATCAGTTAAAAATTATTCATTAACACCACTCTTTTTTGCAGTTAGCCAAAAAAAATTTTATTCATGTAAATTAATTTGCCTGTCTTCTTATAATTTAAGAAAAGAAAAAGAAACTTTAATGTATATTTGTTGTAATTATTTGAATAAATAATCTTATTTATTCCCAATTCTGAAGATTGTTCCTGAAAGAGATGCATAAAGAACAGTATGTCAGAGAGACTTTCTAATTATTTTCCAGATACGCCTATTATTACTCAGGACTAGGTGGTGCGGTGCTCGTTGCTGCCTATATACAAGTGTCATTTTGGACTTTGGCCGCCGGCCGGCAGATTAGGAAAATTAGGAAAGAGTTTTTTCATGCTGTCCTCCGACAAGAAATAGGCTGGTTTGACATCAACGACACCACTGAACTCAATACGCGGCTCACAGAGTAAGTGTACAGTCAATGTCATCCTTGTGTGAAGAGATTAGCCACTAACTGTGAACATGTGTCATGGGAGGATCTTTAAGTGGAAAAAGTTACTAGATTAAGTATTTGATAGAATACCAAGATAGATGATCTGACAGCCATGTCTAGCACTGACAGCCTATTTTCCTTATCTGTTAGTTTTTCTTCTTAGTTATAGAGTAAGTTTATTTGAGGACTGAGCTCACATTTTTGTATATTTGTTTATCTCTCATGGAGCTTACCACACAGCCTGGCAGGCGTTCCATACTCAGTTAAGATGGTTGAATGAATGAATTCATGATTGAATGAATGAATTCATGATTGAATGAATTCACAAAGAGGCTCTTCTTAGTCATTGGTGACTCTTGACTTACTCATCAATTTGAGGGCCTATGATGTGCCAAACACGAGATATTTGTGATCTACTCATGACCCAAAGACCTCTGCCATCTAGGGCTTACATTCCAGTAGAGGGAGATAGGTGATAAACATTTCTTACTGGAGGTCCTGGCCAGAGTGTAGTAAGAAAATGAGATCAAAAGGGAGTAAAGTCTAGACATTGGGGACCTGGTTGGCCTCAGTAAAGGACTTCATTGTTCACTGAGTGAAATGGCAGCGATGGCATATGTTTGGATCTGGGGAGGAGCCTGTTCAGACTTCCATTTTCAAAGGATCATACTGGCTGTTGTATTGAGAACCGAGTGTATGGAAAATAGGGCCAACGGTAAAAGGAAGGTGCACTTCCCTATTATCGTAATGCTCTTCCTAACTTCTGCTTTTAGTCAGATTGGCTCATCTTCAAAATGTTAATGCTTCTCTTACAGGACTTATGAGTTTAATAGCATCCACTGTAATGATGTTAATGTCTTAGAAGCATGAACTAATCCTGGATTTCTTCCTTTGTACAGTTATTTAGGTGGGGAAAATAGCATTCAAGAGGCTAAGACTCTGAAAGAGGCTTGCAGTGTCTGAATGAGTCTGACCTGTCTGTGTTTGTTAGATGTCTGCTTCACCTTTCTAACTGAAGACCTCCTGCCTGTAACCACTTAGGTGTGATCTTTTTTAGTGACATCTCCAAAATCAGTGAAGGAATTGGTGACAAGGTTGGAATGTTCTTTCAAGCAATAGCCACGTTTTTTGCAGGATTCATAGTGGGGTTCATGAGAGGATGGAAGCTCACCCTTGTGATAATGGCCATCAGCCCTATCCTGGGACTCTCTGCAGCTGTTTGGGCAAAGGTAGGTGAAACAGGCATTTTCCTGTGTGTTAACCCACATCTGCAGTTATTTGAAAGATGCAGGATTCCAGTGCTTGTAATTGTGCAAATCGGTGTTAAATGTCAATTGAAAGCACATTTAGAAGCATGTTGTTAATTCAGTGCTTTAATAAGGAAATTTATTTTTTTCAAAATGTCACCGTTTTTACATCAGTTATAGATTTTTTTCCACTGCTGTTATTTCTTTGGTAAGTTTTTGGGCACAATAGCTAAAATTACATATAAGATCTGTGTCCTTAATTTGAGGAAACTCAATTTTAAAATATAATATACCTCTAAACTATTCTGTGATTATAAAAATTTTAAATAAAGTTTGATTTATTTTATTTATTTTTATTTGTTACCTTGACAATTGAGTGGCACTCTGCCAAATTTGCCTTACACATAACCCCTTTTACTTCAGCCAACACTACAGAAGTGAGAAATTTTACTGGCATTTTTTGCTCACTCTGGAATGGACAATTTTCTTAACACCTTGTGGACCAGTAGTTTTATTGCTAGCTTTACCCAGTGGCCAGATAAGTTTCTATGGAACGAGTGCAAAAAAAAAAACAAATAAAAAATAAAATAAAAAAAACGCTTTACATAAATGTTAAAGGCATGCTTTAAACTTAAATACCCATTGCATTTTGAAGTTATTTATTACATGTTCTTACAAGCTAATATCTTTTTAAAGTATGATACGTTGTAAAACACTGTGTGATATGAAGTGGAACTGAACAAAGCTGGCAAATTCTTGTGATCTGCCCGCAATGTGTTAATAAATTACTGGTATCCATTTTGTTTTTCTTCTTCCTTTACCTTTCTCCCACAATATCTCGTTAGCCATCTTGTTATGCAGTAGCATGCTCAGGCGTACATCTGGAAATATGCTTTCAGAGTCATTAAAAAAAATCACGACAAAATTAAGGGAAGGATGGGCAGTCCTTTCAAAGCCGTAAAGTTTTTATTTTCATTTATTTTGTAAGCCACAGAGGAAAAAAAAAACAAAAAACAAAAACCCGAAATAGATGTGGAACTTGAACTGTTCCCAGAAACGCTTTCTAGAGAATAGCACGTGGATTTCCTTTTCCTGGCGGCTCTGGGGGAGCGTGTCATGCGGGTGGCCCTGCGTGGCCTGTGCAGTGAGGAAGCCCTGCTGGCACGCTGAGTGCACTTGGCTTCATGACTTCTGTGTTTAGCAGAGGACAGGGCTGGGGAGGAAGAGTACCTTTAAGGGTGTGCTTTGAACTCCCCTCCCACACAAAAGTCATGACTGTCTCTCTCCCGTGCAGATACTCTCGGCATTTAGTGACAAGGAACTAGCTGCATATGCGAAAGCAGGCGCCGTGGCAGAAGAAGCCCTGGGCGCCATCCGGACTGTGATAGCGTTTGGGGGCCAGGACAAAGAGCTGGAAAGGTCAGGAAGGTTCTTTGCGCACTTGTACATCTTGTTGTTCATTCTTTTGTGGTATGTGTTCACCACTTTCCTTTTCCTCATATCAATACTGTCCCACGGTAGGCAGGCACCTTCGCGAATGGCTAGAGTCGGACGGCAGACTCTAAAACAGGGTCCTGACCCTGCTATGCCCCGTGGACTCCTTGGGCAGTCTGATGAAGCCCATGGACTCCCTCCTTAGAATAATGGTTTCAGATGCATAAAACAAAATAGGATTACAAAGGAAACCAATTACATTGAAATCCAATTACCAAAATATTTTAAAATTGTAATCTAATGACTATGTCTCTTTTATTAACATACCTATCTATATGATAAAAGCATAATATGCTAATTAGACCAGACGTCCTTCCAGACAGCCTTCTGGATGAAGCCTGGGTTCCGGGTGGCAGAGGGAAGCCGGTACCAACAGCTGGGGGAAGGAAGGCCTACTCTTGCAGGAATTTCATGCATCGGGCCTCTAGTATATATATAAAAGGTTAAGTGACTGGCCGTATGTCAGTCTGACCATCTGACCAACCAGCGAATGTATATGACGCACACTGGCAATTTAAAAATAAACATTGACTCGCATATGCACGACACATATAAAGCTCTCACTGGCGCCAATCGCATGCATATGTTTCAATCTGTCATTGTCAATCGTGAATTTAGTTGTTTTTGTTGACATTCAATGTGAACCACATCATGATTTATTCATTTATCGTCCGACCAACTGACCGGCTGGTACATATGACACGCACTGGCAATTTAAAAATAAATGTTGACTCACGCACTTGTAATACATATAAAGCTCTCACAAGCGCCAATAACACTCGTGTTTTAATTTTATAATACTATATTATATATACTATTCTGACATGTAATTTTTTGCAGTAATGTAATTACTGCACAAATCTTTCTTCTAATTAATTTCCTTCCAATGTGCACAAATCCGTGCACCGAGCCACTAGTTAAATAATAAGAGCTAACCATTGGTCTGACAGGTACTGTAGTTCTGAAGTCGGGGTGTGAATAACACATATTTAAAGATATTTGTAGCAATTGTAACATGATATGAAAATGATCTGGGACTTCTACTGGCAACAGAGTCAGACTTACTGCTCCTACTACCGTGGTTTGTTGCCGGCATTGATCGTGAAAGGAAATGCTAACTTTCAGTTAGAGGTTAATGAAAATAAATATGTAATTTTTTCCCCAGTCAAGTTCCTTGACCTTGGATCCCAGCTCAACTATCTCTGCTCTAAAGGAACTTGATATATTAAAAAAAACTAAATGTCAGAACAAAGCCCACTGATGAAGGGTACTCCCTCCAGCAGTTTCCTCTAAATAATAACACCCCCTAATATAGCCAAAGCATAACTCTGTGTAAAGTATTTTCTTTTGCTGTCCTGCGGAACTCCTGATACCCACAACTCTGAAATAGAAATTCTTGGAAATTCTCCAGCTTTAAAAGCCAAGTTTTCCTCATTTCCTCCATTTCCTTTTCTATTTTTCTATTCCTTAAGCCCTCTTCAAAACCACCACGTTCCTGGTTCTCTAACCTCTCCCTTTTTCTCTCTTACTGCTGCTTCCTGTACACAATAGCCCACACAGACCACACTAACCCTCAGTTGGACCTCAGGATGTGAATGTAATCAGTGCCGCTCCATTAGCTGCAGTAAGCAAGCCGCCTAAGCGAAGGTAACTACAGCATGTCCACCACTGTCACCGGAGCTATGTGTCACATTGGGGCCGATACAAATCTCCCTGTACACGGCTGGCTCAGGGCCCAGCCCAGGACTGGACCTGGCCTTCTGGCTGTCTCCCCAGGGACGCAGCTCTGCTAAGTGAGTGCAGCGCTCAACACAGAAAAATGTACTGGAGAGTTGAGTGCTTCAAGTAATTAAAAGGACAGACACTTTTTGGTGGCAGTATGCATTCTTTGCAAACTAATAAGTTCTCAACATCTCATTGGCTAAACTAAAAAATATATATATGATGCTAGTTTTTTGTTAGAAACAAAAACACCCACTTCATATGTTCGCCCCCCCCCCTGCCAAAGTCTCATTGTATATTCATTGAATTTTTTTCTGAAGTCAGAGAGCTGAAATAAACATTTTTTTATGCTCTCCGTGTCTAGCGTGGAAAGGTAGATTTAATTTAAATTGGTGTAAAAAACAACAACATTGCGATTTAATAGAACTATTCTAGATATTTGTGCCTTTGTATCAAATCATAGAAGCCAGTAGTATGGATTTTAATTACTATTTAGAAATATGATAATAATAGAATTGGCAATGTTCAGAAAGAGATTACATTTGAGAACAGCAGTAGTAATAATAGTGGGAACAGGAAGTGTCAGGTTTTGCCAACTTTGCACCAGCCCTGTACTAACTACTCTCTATAACTTCTGTCGGCCTCAGAATTACCTGGAAGGTAGGCATTATTCGCTTCATTGTACAGATGATGAGACAAAGGTCTAAAAAAATTGAGTAAGAACCCAAATCCCACAAGTAGTGACCACTTAATAACTGTGTATCCTGGCTTGACAGTTGAAAGTCAATTGATCAAAAAACAAAACAACAATAACAAAAAAAGCAAAGTCCTAAGTATAAGAACATGTAAAATTCCTGTCCCTCACCCAGTGGGGCAACAAAGGAAGGATTTTTCTTTTCTCTAGAGAAGAGAAATTAAGCTGTGTTCAGAATCTAAAGAGTTCTGAATAGTATTTACATTTTGGCGTCCTTCTTGGTTGGCGTGGTTTCTCTCCTTCCTCCTTGACCTTGACTTGTGATGCCAGCCATGGAGGGGTGATGAAACTCTTCCATATCCCAGGGAGGAGAGCTCAATTCTGGAATAGCTACAGGAACATTGGCTGGACTGGTGAGGACCAAGGGAGAGGGGGTCCAGGCCAGTGAAGAGAAGGCTCAGATAGGTTCTAGCCTTCCTGAGCCCTATCTGGCTGATCTTGAGTTGGAGCAGTTTCCAGGAAGCTGGGTCCCCCAAGGGATTTCTTACTTTGATGGCTTGTTTCTTAAACCTCCAACACTACAGGAGGTGAATGTGGCTCAGATTATGGGTTGTTTACTTATTATAACGTTTTCCCCTAATTTTCTGGTAGGTATCAGAAACATCTAGAAGTTGCCAAAAAGATTGGAATTAAAAAAGCTATTTCTGCGAACATTTCCATGGGCATCGCCTTCTTGTTAATATATGCATCATATGCACTGGCCTTCTGGTATGGATCCACTCTGGTCATAGCAAAAGAATATACTCTGGGAAATGCAATGACAGTAAGTATTGTTTCCTAATATATTTATGAAGAATCTAAAAAAATTTTTTATCCATCTTCCTTGTCTTTACTTTCATATTCCTCCTTTTCGAAGGATGAGCCATGATGGTAGGCTTTTTTATTCTGGTGAATCTTTGCTCTGTCCTGTGGGCAGAGTTGGCCTTCTAGACTACCCAAGGTATAATTATGAGTAGGGACAAGAAAATAGCATGTAGTAAGAAACATATACAATATGTACAGGAAGTGAAAATGGAGTGACTTTGTGAACAGACAAATATGGATTGGAGCCATCCTCATTCTGTCCTCTATTTCCATTATCTAAGAAATTAAACATTACATAGTGATGGAATGTTAAATTTATATATTATAAAACATCAGCTATCTGAAATAGGAGATGGAAAGTTATTTTAGTTTCCTTTTCTTTTTCAAAATGAAGATAGATTTATTGCAAGATTATAAAAAATAATATATTCTAATTATTAAAAGGATTAGAATTTTAAAAATCAGGAATTACTTAGAATTAGAATTATTCATAACCTAATAATGCATATACATTTAATGAGAACTTTTGGCGTATGTCTTCCAAAAGCATATATCTTCCAAGTGGATACTTTTTTCTTCCAAAACTGGGATTGTATTTCTGTAATCTTTTTTTATAAACTAGAAATAATTTTATGATCAACATTCCATGTCAGTGACAGAACATGTAACCATTCAAACAGTGATCTTTTAAAACCTGAACTTCACCGAAACCGGTTTTGCTCAGTGGATAGAGCATCAGCCTGAGGACTGAAAGGTCCCAGGTTTGATTCCGGTCAAGGGCATGTACCTTGGTTGCGGGCACGTCTCCAGTGGGGAGTTAGGGGGGGTGTGCAAGAGGTAGCTGATCGATTATTCTCTCTCATCGATGTTTCTAACTCTCTATGCCTCTTTCTTCCTCTCTGTAAAAAATCAATAAAATATATATATTTTTTAAAAACAAAAAACCTGAACTTCCTTATATTTTCCAACAAAGGATGCTGAACACAGTCTGTCCCTTTGCTGATGACGTAGGGCCATTATGAAAATCTATCACTTCAAGTTGTTTTCTAGAGTGCTATCTTCAGACTCCACTGAGGTGTTGAGGGCTATTTGGCTGGCTGAGCTTTCATAATTGCTGTGCCTTTTCTTTTTCTCTCTCATTTTGGTCTTCTCTCTGATTGTTAGCAGAAGCTCTCCATCTTGCTTCAGTTCCTTGCTTGCTAAATTTTATGAAGAAAGGAGACTAAATCCTGACTTTGCTGTTTGCCTTTTGTGCAGAGTGTGTCCTCTCTGGTCTTATCTCCTCGTTAGTCGTACGTGGGCAGCGACAGCTCCCCCGTGGGGCTGGAGGGTGAAGTCCACCCACAGTGCAGGGAGCCAGCAACACCCTCTGGGTAAAGGGCTCTAGGGCATTAACTTTGTAACAACTATTTTGGTAGAAAACTTTTGTTTTCCTACTGGCCCTCACCTTATTGCAGACAGTGGAGAGATAACAAGGGATATTTGAGTTCTGGCTATGTGAAGTGTTATTGTTCCTGTCTTCTAAGAAGAGCCAAACTATGTGTAGAAGTTTCACCATACCCAGAGAGAAAGGAGTAATTTCTATTCATTTATGTTGTCTTCAGTTGAGTTATGCTAATAATCTGGATTCCTGAAGCTATATTTTTGGCTTTTCTATATCAATTTATTTTCCTAGTTAATATATATAAATAAATATAAATATAAATATAAATATAAATATAAATATATATTTATAAAGGGAAATGTGTTAAGTTTTATTTTCCTAGTTAATATATATATATATATATATATATATATATATATGGAAATGTGTTAAGTTTTGTGTGGTATAGAATGATTATACAAAAGAATTATTAATCAGTGCACACAAATGTGATTGTGTTTTACTAGTATAATGTGTGAACTAATTCTTATATTAAAATATTATTAAAATGTATATATGTAAAATGGTACTTTCTAAGGAAAATTCCATGGAACCAAAACCTACTATGTTTCATCCTTTAAAAAAAAAAAAAAATATATATATATATATATATATATATATATATATATATATATATATATATAATTTATTTTATTGATTTCAGGGAGAGAAGAGAGCCAGAGAGAGAAAGAAACATCCATGATGAGAGAGAATCACTGATCAGCTGCCTCCTGTACACCCCACACTGGGGATTGAGCCGGCAACCGGGCATGTGCCCTGACTGGGAATTGAACCATGACCTCCTGGTTCATAGGCAATACTCAACCACTGAGCCACACCGTTCAGGCCATGTTTCCTCTTGAACATTCTGTGTATCATATAAATATATAGCTAGAGAAAATGAGAATAATAATAGTGATGGAAAACACTTCCCTCTGGTGGTACTAGCTTCAGAGTCAAGGAAGTAGGTTTGAAAAATCTTTCTGACTCTGTATGAGTTCAGAAGAGCAATAGGTAGTTTCCCAAGCTAGACAAATATTTTAAGGTTTAAGAAACCCATTTGTGCAATGAAATGTTATAGTAACCTTATAAGTTTTCCTCCTTTGCTAAGACAATTTTAAAGGGCAAACCTAAACTCAACCCTTTGTATTGTATATTTCACACAAATCATGTTTGAGATCCTGGGCCCCAGAATGGGGCTTATAACTCTTTCTCACGTTCTTTTGTTCAGGTCTTCTTTTCAATTCTGATCGGAGCTTTCAGTGTTGGACAGGCTGCTCCATGTATTGATGCTTTTGCCAATGCAAGAGGAGCAGCATACGTGATCTTTGGTATTATAGATAAGGTGAGTCAATTATTGTGATGCTGAAAAGTTCCTTGAGGCTTGGATAATTAAGTCTGGCTTTAGGTTAAATGTCATGTGAACATTAATTATGTGAAATTAACAACCTCTTGTTAGTAATGAATGAAGCAAAATGCCTCTTATTACTATTTCTAAAAGTGCATCTTTCATATAACAACCCTGATCTCATTTTCGAAAGGTACTGCATTTGTGTAATTATTAGAGTTCAGAGCAAAGATGTTTGTCTTTCTAGTTTTTTTTTTCCCTTTTCTCTTTCACTTTGTGGCCAGATTAAGAATACGATTTCTGTACAGAATGGGAAAATTATTGGTGGAGCCAAAATTGACAGTATGTTTTACTGAGTTGCCCCCTTAAAAAAAAAGTGATCACTGCATGTTTGATATCATTTTGAATTAACTATGTTGATTGAGTCAGTTGACATATTTTAATATGTCACTGCTTATACACAGATAAACCCGAAAAGAGGATAATTGAAATTTGATCATTTAATTCAAGCAATTCCTCCTGTTTCATTGATTGAAGTCATGAGAAAATCGTTCAGTTTCCAAATTTATTGAAAGTTTACATTGGCCATAAATAACTTGCTTTAACTAGTTGTTTAGTCAGTCTTCTTAATCCAATCCATTACATTTATTATTTGGAAATAAACTTATTTTCTCTAAATGATGAAATACCTGGCTATATCCATTATAATATGTTTTGTTGTATAAACATGAATATCTGACCATTTAGAAATTTTATAAGGGTATGCCAAAATCTTAAAGAAAAATATTGTACAAAATAAAACTAGTATGTCATTATTATCTTTTAAAGAAATGCCTGTTTTCTGAGAATAAACATTTCCTTAAACACACACATAATCTCTATCTAGGGTTCTATCTTATGGGAGGGAGAGTGTGCCATTCCAGGTATTATTTTTGAAATTTGCTGAATCATATTCCTTAAAAATGCAATTGTTTATTGTATGATAGATTAGTCATTGAATTTTGTTTTATTTAGAATCCTAAAATTGACAGTTTTTCAGAGAGAGGACACAAACCAGACAACATCAAAGGGAATTTGGAGTTCAATGATGTTCATTTTTCTTATCCAGCTCGAGCTAATGTCAAGGTACTGTAAATAGTATCTATAGGAATTCCTAGCACAGGTTGAATGTTTAATCAACTTAAAGTATCTAAAGCCTCTAATCTTTTGATAGTTATGTGTGTTTTTCTTTTTGGGGTTATATTCCTTTATTTGATGGTCTTGTAATGAAAAAAGTTGAAAGTTTTATTATTAAATTATTTCTTGTTTTCCTGCAAGGCTGTTGCTTCACTGTCTAAGAATAGCACCAGCAAACACAATTTACTGGAAAATTAAGATAGTGTTGTTCATCATCTGACACTGTAACAACTAACAAAAGCTTTTCTCCACTGTCAGTTGTTTCCAGTGGAAAAATCATTCAGTATTCTGACCCAATCCTGAGACAGATGTAAGCAAGTTATAATACAAGGTGGGGCAAAAGTATGATTACAGTTGTGAGCATGCAAAACACAGAGTGTATTCTTGTATTATTACTTATTGACTATTGTATTATTTTCCAAATGAACAACTATGAGCCTATTTTTTGCCCCAACCTGTATTATATAAAGCTTAAGGTTACAATATTACCTTTGAATTATATATTTTTATGGCTAGATTTTTACCACAAATCATTTTATGAATTCTGAGTATTATACTTTGTAGCCTAGCCTAAAAATCATAGAGTGTTGGGAGGAGGTACATATTGTGTTTATCTGCAATTGTTAGAAAGTTAAGGGGTATTTTCTTCAAATAGCATTGTAGTTACTTTTTCCATTGGTACTACTATGCTGGACAACTTAATTTAGTGGAGGTGGGTTTCCATTTTCACTCCTCAATAGATTTTATGTATTTCTCATATGCTTCTTCACTCATTGGTTCACCCAGTTCTGCAGGGTTACTCAGTGTCATCTGGGTCAGCCAACCATCTTCGTGACAAGATGTGCTGACAAGTCCTGGATTTTCTGCAAGAGCTTCATTAATTTCAGTCACTTCTGATAGAGGAGAATAGAGGTCACTAGCAGCTTTCACAATTTCCTAAGCACCAAATTCATCTTGTGTGTTCAATTTTGTCCCAATTTAAGACAAACTACTACAGTAAACAATGCCTCCCAAAGCGTCCTATGCAAAATTGCAGATTCTCACTATTCCAATCCCATTTTCTGTTGCTGTCCATTCCTGCGACTCCATGAGAACACTGCCTCCTGATGCCATACACCCTTAGGCCCCAGGGCTGCAGTCTGCAGGCTCCGTGCTGCTCGGAGCACTCTGGAGCACCCTTTACAGGAGTGTTTGGCCTGGGCGTGGAAACCCAACTCCTCAGTCATGCTGGGCCCAAGGGGGCAGGGCCTATTTCATAGTTTTTCAAGTTTAACATTGAATCAAATTACTCCACTTTTAGGATTTTGTTGTGAAGTGTGTTCTTTTCTGCTCTTTTACTCCCAGATCTTGAAGGGCCTCAACCTGCAGGTTCGGAGTGGGCAGACGGTGGCCCTGGTTGGAAATAGCGGCTGTGGGAAAAGCACGACGGTCCAGCTGATCCAGAGGCTCTATGACCCTGATGAGGGTATGGTAAGTGGGAAGAACTAAGTTCTCCAGATTTGGAAGCTGGATACATATCTCAAAAAATATCTCAATATCTTAAAAAAAAAAAAAAAGAAAAAGAATGTTCTGAGATTAGCATGGGAGGATGAATGGTTTTTATTTGTGTGGAATTACATCCCTGGGTTTCCCAAGTCCCATTCCCCTTAGCCTAGTCCTGGAAGAAGTGAGCTGGGGATGCAGTAAAGCTAAAAGCAAAGCCAGTGTCCAGAGTTTCCATCCTATTTTGTAGCCAGGAGTCAACCAATGTTCCATGTTCAGCATCAGGCTAGTTGCAGTCTATTAGTCTACTCTGTGGAGGAAGGCAGGGAAGCAGGAGCAAGAATCCTGCAAGCCAGGAGTCAACAAAGAGGCACCAAGAGGGCGAGCTCCTTTGCTCAGGAAATTAAATTTCCCACATCTTCCCATGCTTGCAGTGGCCATGCCCTTTCTGGCCAATGACCTCTGTGCTCAGGTGTGACTGCGAGCAAGCACCTTTCTAGCCTCCCGAACTTGACTGGGCACGCATCTACCTCCCTGCTTTTCCCAGAAGTCTGCAGGGATGGGCAGGTGGCTCCCTGGGGAGTGTAAAGCTTTAGCTTCCTGGTGAAGCTGCCCAAATGGCGTGCCTATAATATTTGGCCTTCCCTTTGCGCCTTTCCTGTTATTAATAACCAGGTTCATTACAATGGTATCTTTTTGAAGTCAGGAAATGTAATGCCTTCAATTTTGCTTGTATTTCTCAAGATTGCTTTGGCTCTTTGGAGGTCTTTTATTATTCCATATGAACATTGTATTTTCTCCCCCTATTTTTGTGGAAAATGCCATTGGAATTTTAACAGATTTCGTTGAATTTGTAGATCATGTTGAATAGTATGGATATGTTAACAATATTAATTCTTCCATGCCATGTACAAGAACATCTTTTAATGTATCTGTCTTCTTTAATTTCCTTTATTAATGTGCCATACTTGGAAAGATCTTTGTATTCACTTACCTTTTTTTATACCAACCACTTAACAATTTGAAAAAGGCAAGTGTCAGCAAATATTTCTTCCAGTATTTGAAAATATATTTAACTGTAACAACATCATCTAGCAACTAATATCTAGGTAACAATAGAGATAGTTCAAATGAATATTTGCTTTAGAATTCATTAGGCACTATAATCTTTATCTCCCATTTACTAAACTTCTCTCTTTTGAAATTAGAAAGTTAGATATTCATCAAGTTTATTTTTTTATTTTTTTTAAATGTGCCTTTTTTTTTTTTTAATCTGTACTGCTTTCCAGCTAACAGTTTTTTTTGTTGTTGTTGTTGTTGTTTTTAATATATTTTTATTGATTTTTTACAGAGAGGAAGGGAGAGAGATACATCAACCAGCTGCCTCTTGCACACCCCCTACCGGGGATGTGCCCACAACCAATGTACATGCCCCTGACCAGAATCGAACCTGGGACCTTTCAGTCTGCAGACCGATGCTCTACCACTGAGCCAAACTGGTTTCGGCAATATTCATCAAGTTTAAATCAGGCTCATGGTTCCCGTCTTTAAACGCTATTCACCACTACCACGTACTCATTTTATACTCAACTTCATTAGACTTGATAGTACAAGTTCTTCTTTGCAAGCCTAGAGCATGAATGGTTTGATCAGATTAGAAAGTTTCTCATTTCTCTCAGCGTGAACTGTTACTCCGCTTGCTCATGTGGAGGCTGTGGGGCTGAGTCTGTTATCAGGTTACAGGTGTGGTTTCAAATGAGGTTCCAGGGAACTGCAGAAGCCCTGGAGAAAGATTGACCTTCAGCTGTTAATGCCCTGGGCTGCGGTGGAAGGAGGGCAGAGCGGCCTGGAGGCCTGTGAGGAGAGACTGGGGCCTGTGGCTCTGGGAAGGGAGCCCAGGGGACTGCTGCCAGCCCCCTGGGCTGAGTCACTCTTCTGCACCTCAGTAGCCATCCTTCTTCTAAAATCTTCTTAGAGGATTGTTTATTCAACCTTTATTCATCAAATAAATGCCCCACATATATCACTAACTGTATAGTGTGTTATTAGAGAAGAAAAAGTAAGTCATACTCCTCAGCCTGGTAGTTCTCTATTTCTACAATGGCTGTCCTATACAGTGTTTCTTGAAGGAAATAAAATGTCCAGCAGGTGAGAAATGCTAAAGAAAATTGTAGTGTATTACATATAGTAAAACATCATAATACCATCAAAATGATATGCAGACTGGATAGGAAAGTGGATATTTTTATTCACATTTACTAACGGTAAGCAAAAATAATAGAATGCCAAAACTATATAACCCAAAATGTTTATGGAGAATCATCTATCCATGAAAAAACTGTATATGTAAGGGGAAAATATCAAGAGAACGTATACTTTTTATTGTTATTCTTGCACATTGTCCTTTATTTCCATTCTCACTCTAACCACTGAAATAAGTTCAATTTTAGCTAAGACTTTTCATCACAAATGAAAGCGTATAATGCTAATTGAAATAAGCCAGTTAGAGAAAGATAAGTATCACCTATCTCATTCAGATGTGGAAGCTAATGAACAAAATAAACTGATGAACAAAATACATTCCAAGACATATAAGTATGGAACAGACTGTGGATTCTCAGAGGGAAGGCTGGGTGGGTGGGCAGGAAGAGATCAACCAAAGAATTTATATGCACATATATATGCATAACTCATGGACACAGATAATAGGGTGGTGAAGGCTTGGGGTAGGGGGCAGAGTTGGTCTAGAAGGGGTCAATGGGGGGGGAAAAGAGAACATATGTAATACTTTCACTAATAAAGATTTTTTTTAAAAAAGAAGTCTTGATGCTTTAGCTATCAAATGGTTCAAAATATTTAATGAAAATATTCCTCTTTTTTTTTTTTCAGATTAGCATAGATGGCCAGGATATTAGGACCTTTAACGTAAGGTATTTGAGGGAAATCATTGGAGTGGTGAGCCAGGAGCCCGTGCTATTTTCTACCACGATTGCTGAAAACATTCGCTATGGCCGTGGAAATGTCACCATGGATGAGATAAAGAAAGCTGTCAAAGAAGCCAATGCCTATGAGTTTATCATGAAATTACCACAGGTAACAGCTTTGTTCATGTAGTTGCCCTCAGAGTTAGAATGTCACCTCATGCAAACGAGTTCTTTCTCCTAAGGTTAAGCTACAACAATGTTTGAGGGACAAAGTTGTCCAACTTTGCTAGGAAAGTCCCTTAAATTATTCAGTTGGACATTTAAAGAGTAGAGCCTGGTTCACAAATCACATGAAATTTTATACAGAGTATGTATTAGTAGTTTTTATGATTTAGTATTCATTGATTTTATTATGATTTATGACTCACTGTGATGGGTCAAAATGATGCTCCCTGTTGTCTTCATGAATTTCTAAACTCCGTAGCCTTTTCTATTTAAAATATTTCCGGGAACATTTGAGAGCTTGCTCCCCAGCACATGACAGTTTGGCTCAAATAAACTCTTATAAAAATTCTCTTAAAAAAAAGAAAAAAAAAAGAAAAGAAAAAACTTTAACAGCTGCTCTTTCGCGTTCTCTGTTGTAGAAATTTGACACCCTGGTTGGAGACAGAGGGGCGCAGCTGAGTGGGGGACAGAAACAGAGAATCGCCATCGCTCGGGCCCTGGTTCGCAACCCCAAGATCCTGCTACTGGACGAGGCCACGTCGGCCTTGGACACTGAAAGTGAAGCTGAGGTGCAGGCGGCCCTGGATAAGGTGGGTAGACACTAAACGCCTGAAGGACCAACAAAATGAAACCTCTGAAAATCCTTGCTAAGGCTTTGCAAGTCCAGATTGAAAAACATGAGAGCAAATGAAGCTCTCTCATGGAGCTTTATCGATTTCCCCTGTGTTAGGTCACATTGCAGGCAGGTGGGTGGCCATTAGCTGGCTTGCTGAGCAAGGTACAGTGAGCTGAAATCCCAGCGTAGGCACTGAGCCACTCATCTTTGTTTTGCCCTTGCAGTTAGGCCATTGCTTCAATCCAAAGTAGTTGTGTAAAAATCTACCAAAAAAATATGGTTACCTGGACACTGGTCCAGCCAAAAAATAAATCAAAATCCTTGCCTTATTTTTTAGGCAGTACCATCATTTTTATCTATTCACGAAGGTGGATGGATGATTTTCTGGAAATAAAGTTCAGTTTGTATTTGTCTAAGCAAATAAATAAGCAGCACATTTTAAGGATTCTGAGCTTACATTCCTGGGTCAGATATTCTGATCTTTCTGTCAAATTTAAGCTGAAGCTTCACAAAAAGGATCTTATATTAGCACCCTTTGGACATCAGTGCTGATGTCATCTGTAATAACAACGGAGTGTAAAAACTAGATTTGTGTGGCACCAACTTACTGTGATTAGCTACGTATTTATTTGCCTTCTTTCTCCCAGAAAGAATAAACCCCTTAAGATGCAACATTAATAAATGTTTCATATTTGTATCTGTATAATACGTAATCCAGTGCCTTGCACATAGTAGAGCCTAAATAAATATTATCATGGTCCAACTCATTGAGACAATACATGTTTACAGTAAAAAACAAACAAATAAAAACTAATGACCATATTAGCTTTTGACTCAATAGATAGCAACTATTTGTCAAAATAAAGAATAGGTTTTTCAATATAAGATCTTAAAGAGTATAAAAGTAGATTTAATAATTTGAAATTTTAAGGGAAGTCAATAGCCACAAAGTTTCATACCCACATGCATCCTCCTATTCCTAGTGTTGTTATCAGGAGGGGTAAGGAAAGAATGAAAAGCCTACATGGTGATTTTATGAAATGATTCCAGAAGGTTTCATTTTATACTATTTTTTCTAGAAGTTCCGGAAATAGTACTCCCTTTGTGTGGCCCTGCCTTTCACCCCTGCATATCCCAAACTAGTACAGGGTCCGATTGTCTCAATAGTTGGTGTCTTTGAATCTAGGATGTTTATTTGCCAATGTCTTGTCATCATTTATGTGTCTGAGAGGTCTGAAAAAGAAATCTCTTTGTGTCAGATCTCTGTACTGGCCAAAATTTCTTGGTCAAGGGTGACAGTTGCTAAATTTTAAATTCACAAATATATGCTTTGTCTCTCCTGAACACCAGCCAGTCACTCACAATTTTCATTCCAACTTCTGTTTTGTTTTATTTGTATTGACATAGCATCAATCTATCATCATAATGATAGCATAGCCTTTGTTAAAAGCTTAGTCATCACTATTAGTATCATGAGTATAATTAGAATGATCTAATTTTTTCCTATCTGCCTTATCATGCATGGAGCAAGCCAAGCAACTTCCACATTAGTAAATATTTACAAATGCTTCTTTGGAAGCCATATACTAAAAATCAAAGAATTGTCTTAAAAGCGTTGTTCAGTAGACCTGTGCTCTAGTCTCTGTTTTTATGGTTTAGCTCTTTTACATTTAGTTAGGCATCGTTGATTGTCTACTTTAAAATTTTTGAGTAAGGATTGACGTAGAAAAATTGCATTATTCTTTTCCTCTGGGGCTATACAATTCATTCAATACCATTTATTATACAATCCATCTTTTCTGTATTGAGAATGCCATATCTATCCTATACTAATTCTTAAATGTTTTATATCTATTTCTGGACTCTATTTTGCTCTATTGATCAAATTGCCTATTCATGTGACAGCTTCCCCTGCATGGATGGACCTGAAGAGTATTGTGCTAAGTGAAATAAGCTAGTCAGAAAAAGACAAGTACCATATGTTTTCACTTATATGTGGAACTTAAACAAAATAAACTAACAAACAAAATAGAAACAGACTCAGATACAGAGAACAGATCTTCAGCTGTCAGAGGGGAGGGAGTTTGGGGTGCTAGGTGAAAAGGGGGAAAGGACTAAGCAAAATAAACCTTATTAAAAATAAAATCAGTCACATACGGGGAAAACGAAACCATTGACCTAATACTGGATACTCACTAGAGTATCAAGAAGAGTAATGATTATAAATGACATAGAATGAATAATTTGATGAGCATTTTTTAGGTTTTAAATTCCCATGAATAAGCCCACCAAGTCAGCATGCCCATTCACGGAACTACTTCGAGGAATGATTTGTAGACTTTAACATGCATTTAAACATCACCTGGGCCCTTGTTAAATCAAAGTTACCAGCCATACTCCAGAGGTTGCGAATCAGGTGAATTTCGAACCCTGTTTTGAACCGTCCAGACCCCAAGGTACATTTTCGCCTAAACTGCCTACATGCAGTCCATGAGACATACAGGTAAAATCAGGCAACTTCAGACGTAACCCTGCAGAAGTCTCTGAAGAAGGCGTATGTCTCTAGCATGTCGTATAGCTCAGAACTAGGGTTCCTCCAGCAGGTATGACCACACTTGAGAAGAGGCAAACCTTTTCTCCTGTTTATTGAGTCAAGATTGACATTCCTTAGGCTTCCAGTTACCCCTACACTGAAAGGATTGGCTTCCTGGCTGGCCCAGACCCCAAGTCTCACTCTCACCTTTTACGTGTGTAGATGAGTGATGCCTTTGTGCTCTAATCACACGACGTGGGGCGTGGGGTGAGCTCCTGTCTCACCAACGGCAAATGCATCCATCCCAGTGCTTGCCTGTGCATGCTAACTGACAACGTGTCCACCTGTTTGTCCTTTTCCCCTTCAGGCCAGAGAAGGCCGGACCACCATTGTGATCGCGCACCGGTTGTCTACCATCCGAAACGCAGATGTCATCGCCGGCTTCGAGGACGGAGTCATCGTGGAGCATGGCAGCCACAGCGAGCTGATGAAGAAGGAAGGGCTGTACTACAAGCTGGTTAACATGCAGGTATCTGCCTCCCAGGAAGCGTGCTGATGTTGACTCCTTAAGATAGTATTTGTGCATGTATCAATTAAAATATCAGACGGTGCCCTAGCCCAGGGGTTGGCAAACTCATTAGTCAACAGGGCCAAATATCAACAGTACAATGATTGAAATTTCTTTTGAGAGCCAAGTTTTTTCAACTTAAACTTCTAACGTCACTTCTTCAAAATAGACTCGCCCAAGCCATGATATTTTGTGGAAGAGGCACACTCAAGGGGCCAAAGAGCTGCATGTGGCTCTCGAGCCGCAGTTTGCCAACCACAGTTTGGCTCGGTGCCTAGCTGGTTTGGCTTAATGCCTAGCCGGTTTGGCTCAATGCCTAGAGCGTCAGCCGAGGACTGAAAGCTCCAGGTTCGATTTCAGTCAAGGGCATGTACCTTGGTTGCGAGCATATCTGCAGTAGGGGATGTGCAGGAGGCAGCTCATCGATATTTCTCTCTCATCGATGTTTCTAACTCTCTATCCCTCTCCTTCCTCTCTGTAAAAAAATCAATAAAATATTTTAAAAAAAAACACACACACACAATGTATCAGACAGCTATTGCCATACTAAAGAATCAGAAGTATTCAGGAGAGTCCTGAAAGTATGCATTTGAGACTTTAATTCAGAATCAGTGCAACAGTCCTGAAAGAGAGAAGTGGAGAGGATGTAAATGCCCAAAGCATTTTGAACTTATTCCTTAGGACAGAGATTCTTGATTGCCTGGGGAGTATGTTCAATTGAAGAGCTCCCTTCCACCATAAGATTAGGGATGCTTAAGAGTGGTGATAGGAGTAGGAGGGCAAGCCCAGGATCTCGAGTGGCGGGGAGAGGTTTTATGTAATTTTAAAATGCCTCCCTAATAAAACCAGTAGCAAGATTCACATCTCTAGGAAGTGAACACAAGCATACCTCAGAGATTTGAGGGTCCAGGTCCCCAAGAGAGAGTACCACAAAAAAGCAATTGTAATATTTTTGCTGGCAGAGGGTCTTACTTTCGATTTGTAAGAAATGCACCATCTGTCAGCACAATAAAGCAAAGTATGATAAAATGAGGTATGCCTGTACCTTGTTTTTGTTAAAAAAAATGATTCACTCTAGTTCCTAAATCAAGAAATCTTGGGAATGATTGAACAAGACATTTTATTGTGCTTACTCGCTTGAGCAACTTTGCAAAATAAATATTTTATTTATTTTTTTAATAGGATCGGGTTGGGGCCAGAACCTGAAGGGCAGGAGCAAGAACATGTCAGTACTACAGGGACTGGAGTCCTGGACAAACCAGGAGGATGTGTTCTCGGACATGGAGGGAACAAACAGGGAACCAGACCAAAGTCAGAGCAAAGCTAGCAAGTTGGCTTGATGTTCTCTCACCTGGCATTAAGCTAAATAGAGGTCCTTAAATTACCCACCCCTGCGCCTTTAAGGAGAGAATCCCAAAGCCTGCAGGCTGGGTCACCTGGGGTGAGGTGTGATGCTGAGCAGGACTATGAGGAAAAAAGCTGATTGTACTCAGACAGTCAAGGAAAGCAGCTTAATTGCGTCATGTGAGGGAGTGACCAGCTTTCCCGTGTCCGTAGCTTTAAAAGTGAGTCCTGGGTAATGTTTCTTTGTTTTCTTCCCTTTCGTGGGGGCCATGCCTTGTTTTCTGGACTTTTAACATACTGAAGAAATTCCTACAGACCTGCTAGGTGATGAAACATTTGCCTTTGAGTTCTTAGAAAATACTTTATAGTCCAATTTTCATATTGGTCAAATCTAATTTAAGCTTCCTTTTTAACCTTTTTAACTTCCAGGTGCTGATACACTTCTTTACAGTTTTCCAGCTGATTGTGGTGCTATTATGGAATCTGTCTTCATACATGTAATATTGACAATGTCTTTATGGTTCTAAATTTGTAGGTTATGTAGGTGTGGACACACACACACACACTCACACACACACACACACAATTTAATATCTCATTCTTCTTCCAGACATCAGGAAGCCAGATCCAGTCAGAAGAATTTGAAGCTGAACTAAATGATGAAAAGGCTGCCACGGGTATGGCCCCAAATGGCTGGAAATCTCGCATCTTTAGGAATTCTACTCAGAAAAGCCTTAGAAATTCACGAAGGTATCAGAATGGCCTCGATGTGGAAACCACTGAACTTGTAAGTTGTTTGCACTTCAGTTAAATCTTTTATGGTATGTTTTTGCTGTTGAAATTCTTAGCCTTGCTAGTACACCGCAGGCATAGGTGACCCCTATGATGAGCCATGCTCTTCTTGAGAAAAGGAAATTCTAGATGTTAAATGTATTTGACAATGACTTGAAGTCAATTATAATTAAAAATGAATTCCCAGTGGAAACAACGTAGTCTTTGTGGGCAAAGGCTTACGTTAAAATTAGATATCCCATTCATCTCTGAGATACAGAGATAAATTCAGGCATCCCTCAGAGATATTGCATGTTTGGCTCCAGATCACCATAACAAATCGAGTAGTAATCTTTTGGGGGTGGAGGTCTTGCCTTCGATTTATTTAAAAAAAAAAAAAAAAAAAGCCGTGAAGCAAAGTGTAATAAAATGAAGTATGCTTGCAAGGCTCATATAACATCAGAGGCCCTGGTAGTTGCACAGTCTGTCAGGTAGGATCACGTTGGAATGCCTATGCTAGGAAACCCAGGGCTAGAATGGTGGCAGCACAGTTACCCTGGCTGCAGGCTCCTTTCACCTCTGTCATCCCTGTCCTGCCTGTGGCTCCTGGAGCTCCAGCCGTCACACTGTGTCCCAGGCAGCAGGAAGAAACAAAGATTTTTCTAGAATATAACACGATACTTGACTTACATGCCCTTGGCAGTCATTTAATGACGTGGCCAAACCTTAGCTACAGGGAAGGGTAGGAAACGGAGTCTTTTTGCGGTATGGATCGCCACTCTGAATTAGATTGGACTTCTCTTCCTGAGAAAAAAGGAAGCATGGCCAAGAATAGCAAAATCGTGCATTCTTTAACATTTCTCACCTGGAGACTTGGGATATTACTTTTTAACATATTTTTATGGATTTCAGAGAGGAAGGGAGAGGAAGAGAGACAGAAACATAAAGGATGACCGAGACTCATTGACCAGCTGCCTCCTGCACACTCCACCCTCTTCCCTCCTCCCCCTCCAGCACTGGGGATTGAGCCTGCATCCTGGACATGTGCCCTGACCAGGAATCAAACTGTGACCTCCTAGTTCATAGATCAATGTTCAACCATTGAGCCACACTGGCCTGGCAAGACTTGGCACATTATTAATTCAGGTTAACAGAAACTTGTATAACAGCAAGGGAATCCATTCCTAAGAAAGATAGTTTCTTATTTCAAGAAATGGTTTGAGAATACATTTTGGTGTTATTTATTGATAAAGAATGAGTTTATCTTTACTCTTGTGTTGGCTGAAGAAATTCAGCCTACTGAGAGCTCTTGGAACCTGGCTTTTTCTGCCCACAACGTTATTTACTGCAGGAGTCACAGGGCTGTCTAGATCTTAATCTTGGTGTATTTATAGAAAGAAGGATAATACTTGAGCTATTGTAGACCTGAGCTATCGCTAGTAAGATAAACAATTTCCCCCTTTTGGGCTGTGGAAGGATTCACTTCCTATTTCTCATTTGTCCTGAGGGTTATGCTGCTAAGTCTTCGGAGTCAGGCATTTTAGGTGAGAACTTCTCTTGGGAAGATGCTCGGAGGGAAGATAATATGCCACAGTCAACGAGATTTTCACAAGTACCGTCGTGGGAGGATACACCGTGTAGCCAAAGGAGGGAGACATTAAGTCTGATTAGAGGGATCTTGGGAGACCTGAGAAAATGGCCCATTTATCAGGCTGGAGACCAGGACTTGAAGATCATGTTAAACAGGGAGAAAAACTAAACACGAAAATGAGAAAAGGGGCCAAGTAGATCCTGCTTCTATGTTCTGTTTCAGAAACACACATGACCCATTTAAACAACCGTAGACTAGAGCCTCCCATACGCAGTTTTAGTGTCTGGTTTAATGTTAAACTTCCTCTGTGGTCAGAACGGTCTCCTTTTCGTGACCTAAGTCCTTCCTGCTTGACCAGACAGTGAATGTGATATAATATGTGCCGGGCAGGGGACTAGTTTCTGGGGATATGAAGATGTAGTCTTCACCTTTACAAAGCCCACATAGGAAAGGAGACAGGAAAACAAAGGAAAGAAAAGCAACAACAGGAACTAAAACAAGCTAAGCCCTGAGAAGAGAAGTCTGCACGGGGAACAGCGGTGAGAGGAAAAGGCCATGTGAAGTTGGCTTAGGGCGTTGGGGACCTTCACAGAAAAGGCAGTGCCAGGCTGGGTTCCGGAGGTGAGGAGACCAGGCCCATGCTCTCAGGTCCATCACGGTACCATACACTGGTGAGGGCATCCATCCTTCTGTTTACGGTATTGTTTCATCCGCCCCAACGTCACCCCTGAGTTGAGCTGGGACTTGAATTCTAGGGCGTTTTGTACATAGACTCTGCTTCTGCTCCCTGTGCTGAGGCTGGGACAGAAATGGACCGATCACGCCATGGAGATCACTTCTTGGGTGAACAGCCCGGACTCAGCTGATGCTATGCAATCATGGACACTGTGGACATGCGCACACACTGTCCCGCTCTCTAGGACACAGTTGGCTGGATGGTCATTCTCAGCGCCCCATGTGCAAGTGCCTTGAGGGCGATGCTGTGTCCTTCCCCTGCCTGCAAGCTCTGGTAGCTGCTGCGTGGTCACCCGTCTACCCTGATGTATTCTAGGATGAAAATGTGCCACCGGTGTCTTTCCTGAAGGTCCTGAGACTGAATAAAACAGAGTGGCCCTACTTCGTGGTGGGAACGGTATGCGCCATCGCTAACGGGGCGCTTCAGCCAGCATTTTCAGTCATCTTCTCAGAGATGATAACGGTGAGTGTGAAGCATCGCTTCATAACGTGAATTAAATCGTGTCATCACTAAATCAGTGCTCACGCCAGCCTTACCACTGGGTCCATTTTGGAGAAAAGTGGCCTCAAATTAAACTAAGCCAAAGTTCTTAATACCCTTCTGAGGAAACATGTGAGGCCAAAGAAAAAAGTATGAGCCATTTTGGGTTATGATATTAGTGAAATTATGAACTGTAAAATCCATGAAGGGGGCATTCTAATGAGCTCTCTTCATTTGGGTCCAACTGGTGTCAGGCAGTGATGTCCATCCCCTCTGTGGAGAGGAGATGTAGGGCTCACAAGAAGGCTTGGGGCGGAGGGGGAGATGTGGGGGAAGGAGGCGAGATGGAGGGGGAGAGGAGTGTGCAGGAGGGAAGAGTTCAGGTCATAGCGTTGAAGAGGCCAGGCTCTGGGCACAGACTGGCCTCTCCCCATAAGAGCCGTGCAAACTTGGGCAAGATGCTTTTCCTCTTGGTACCTCCATTTCTTCATCCGTAAAATAAATACACAATAGGCTAGCTGAGGATGAAAGGAGATTATATGGGTAACTATATGGAAAGCATTTAAGACTGTCTGCTTCATAGTAAGTATTCAAAAAGCGATATCCACCAGCCTTGGCCAGGTAGCTCAATGGATTACAGCGTCGTCCTGATATGCCAGCATTGTGGGTTTGATCCTCTGGTTCAGGGCACATACAGGAATCAACCAATGAACGCATAAATAAGTGGAACAACAACCTATATTCCTCTTTCTCTTCCTCTCTTCCCCTCTTCCTCTCCCTCCCTTTCTCTCTCTCCCTAAAATCAATTTTAAATAAGTGATAGCTGCCATCACGCCATTATTTCAGCAATCCTTCCAAGGCTTGGGAAGTCTGAGACTAAGAAAGAAAACTCATGCGATCCAATTGTCAAGTTCATGGAGGGAATATTTATAGGAAGTTGTCAGAAATGCCTAAGGCTCCATAAAACCCAATATTTACGCTGTATAACCTCAGCCAGCCACTTACATCTTTGGAGAGACTTTTTTGTTAAAGATGACTTATTCTCCATCATGTTGAGTTCGTTATGCTTGTGACATTGGACACTGGTCTACAATTAAGACCTCAAGCCAAAAAATAAATAAGTTAGAATGTTTTTATATTAAAAATCAATTCCTAACTCTCTTGCAATTTAAGAGCTATGTGGACTGTATCTATATTTTGGGGCATCTCCTATGTGCCAAACACTGCTCTAGGCACTGGAGATATATCAGGAAACAGAATAAACTGAGTCCTGCTCTCAAATAGGTTACTATCCATGCAAAAAACAAAACAAAACAAAACAAAAAACCAACAACAAAACAAACTACATAATGTGTCAAGGGCTAACGAGTGTTTTAAAAGCAGGATCTGGCGGGGGTAGGGAGGAAGGAGGGGTTGGGGGGTTGCTATTCCCATAGGTTGGGCAGGGGAGGCCTCTCTGGGCAGAGCTCCTGTGAAGTGAGGGGCGGAGGGAACAGGCTGGCGCAGAGGGATCACCAAGTGCAGGGGAAGAAGAACAAACAGCAAAGTGTGCAACCACACACAACCCATGCTAATGGCCACACATTCAATTCACAGGCAGGGACTAGCATCGTGGTTCCCAGAGGGCTAGGGAGGGGGAAAGGGGTCTTACTATTCGGCAGGTACAGAGTTTCCTTTTGGGATGGTGAGAAAGTTCTGGAGACGGATAGTGGCGAAGGTTGCACCGCACTGTGTGTGTACCGAATGCCCCTGAATTGCACGCTTAAAGATGAGTAAAATGGTAACTTGTATGTGATGCATATTTACAATAAAAACCCACATATCTCAAAGCCCCGTCTTTCAAATGCGATGCTCCGGCCACTGTTGGTGGGCGGAATAAGCAAGGGACCTGTAATGAGGTGGCCCCTGCGTGTCCTCTCGTAGATTTTCGGGCCCGGGGACGATGCCGTGAAGCAGCAGAAGTGCAACATGATCTCGCTGCTGTTCCTGGGCCTGGGGATCACTTCCTTCTTCACCTTCTTCCTGCAGGTAGGTGCCTACGGTTGGTCTTCTCGTGGGGTCTAGTTTCAATGAGGATATAGATTCATTACTAGATCTTAACTACTCATTAATATAGGTTGATTAACTATCAATTAATCAAGACCTAGTGGAGTTTCTGAGTCCGAGACTGAAATAAATGGCAAAGAGCTGAAAGAGGACCTTTTTCGAGGACAGTCCTTAGCAGGAGTAATTGTGATCTCACTGTGTGCTAAATCATGGCACATCATAGATTAAATTCAACTAGTTAAAAACGGGGAGGGGGAAGGAGACACAGTACAATAGCATCCTTTTTTTTGTTGTTACTCTTTACACAATATCAGTAACTTCTCTGAGTGTTTCCTCCTTAATCAACGAGCTCTTTGAAAGAACATATATGTTGTACTGCATTTAGATATTATAGACCTGGCCAGAGGGAACTAGCATACTTACCCCGATTGTACTTTTCTACCTAGATTTTTACCAAATACCTTTTGTCTCGTTAACTCAGTGAGCATCATGCAGGCCCTTCCAATGCAATCCACTAATTCAGCAAAAAGTCTCCTAGTGAGGCCCAGCCCATTTCTCCATTATTGTTGAACCGATGGTAAAAGTAAGCCATGGTTTTTATTTAGAAATCATTTATTTAGATCTCAGTGATTCCACACAGTGGCCAGCCCTGGTGTGTGAGGGAGTGGAGCTGGGTACATAAATGTGTTTTGGAGGCTGCACAATCAGTGGGCTCAGGGATAGAATTGTGGTGCCCACACTGCCAGCAAAGAAAGGAGGAGAGCAGATGGTCTAGTCCCAGGCACCATCCTCCTGGGCACCCTCCCCCTGCCACCATCCCCCTGGCACCATACCCCTGGACACCATCCCCCTGGCACCATGCCCCTGGGCACCATCCCCCTGGCACCATCCCCCTGGGCACCATCCCCCTGACACCGTCCCCCTGGGCACCATCCCCCTGGGCACCATCCCCCTGACACCATCCCCCTGGGCACCATCCCCCTGACACCATCCCCCTGGAGACCATCCCCCTGGGCACCATTCCCCTGCCACCATCCCCCTGGGCACCATTCCCCTGCCCACCATCCCCCTGGCACCATGCCCCTGGGCACCATCCCCCTGGACACCATCCCCCTGGATACCATCCCCTGGACACCATCCCCCTGGGCACCATCCCCCTGACACCATCCCCCTGGACACCATCCCCCTGGCACCATGCCCCTGGGCACCATCCCCCTGGGCACCATCCCCCTGGACACCATCCCCCTGGACACCGTCCCCCTGGGCACCATTCCCCTGCCCACCATCCCCCTGGCACCATGCCCCTGGGCACCATTCCCCTGCCACCATCCCCCTGGCACCATGCCCCTGGGCACCATCCCCCTGGACACCATCCCCCTGGCACCATGCCCCTGGCTTAGTGTCCTCCCAGGCATGGCCTGCACACACCTGCACCAATGTCCTGTGAGCCTGGAGTCTCCCACCCGCCCCACAACCCGGTCCAGCTGTGGACACGTGAACAGGATCTGATTAGAGAGGGGGAGCTGCCTGGCAAGCCTGCCTGGGGAGGGAGAGGGGCCTGGTCCCCACGCTGAGAGCAGGTGGAGCTGTGGCCAGGAACCAGCCAACTCGCCTGGAGTGTCTCACTCCAGGCCGCCTCCCTCCCTCCCCACATGGTCCAGTTGCGCTCCTGCGCAGAATTTTGTTACTTCTCCTTTCACTGTTTAAAGTAATAGGAACACACTGAAAGTTGTGACTAAACATAGTATTGTCCTCCTTGAGATGTTCTTGAACGTTTTGAGAAGGAAACCTGTTTAGAATGGCTCAGAAGCCAGAACTGGACACTTTAAAGGCTTTTCATCTCGATTGCATACTCATGATTCAGCAGTCGGTGAATTCTAAGTTGGGACTTTGAGTGAACGTTTGGTGACAGGCAGGTGTTACCTGGCTCGTTGGCTAACACGGACGTCATGTACAAAACAGTATGCAAGCACCCACTCGCGTCAGAACAGCGTGATGAGCCCAGGGCCCACGAGCTTTTGTTTTCTGTTCTCCACCAGGGCTTCACGTTTGGGAAAGCCGGCGAGATCCTCACCACCAGGCTTCGGTCAATGGCTTTTAAAGCGATGCTGAGACAGGTAAGCGTGGGTCCCGGATGCCTCCTGCCCAGGTTTCCCACTTTCAGCCTCTCCTTCTGTTCCTATTGCATGCTGTCCCCCCTCCCAACCCTGGAGGTGTTCATACAAGCACTGGTGTTCATACAAGCACTGGTGTTCGTACAAGCACTGGTGTTCGTACAAGCACTGGTGTTCGTACAAGCACTGGTGTTCGTACAAGCACTGGTCGGGGCCCAGCAAATTGTCCTGGTCCGTCAATTATCCAAAGACCTCACGGGGTTCTCATCAGACGAGGCTTAATTTAAGAGGGTTGGGGGTTTATTTCACAACTGCCTCTGTCCGTGGGGACACTATCATTTCAGGGACCCGTATCCCGCCCCTGGATTCTACACAAGCCCAGAGAGTCGTGTGAGACTCCGGGCCGCCTCAATACCAAGGGGGAAGAGGTTGATGGCACCACAATCGGCCATGCTAGCTATAGGTTTCCCCAAATGTGGGTGATCTGTTTTGTTTCTGTCTTATTTGAGCTTTGTTTTCACATTAGTTCGTTTATTCACTCACTAACCTGTTCCCAGTGGGTCCCGGGCTGGTAGCTGGGACCACAAGCATGGCCTGCCCTCCTGGGAAGCTCAGCCCAGGGCCAGACAGGTGGGAGAGTGGGACCTCGAACCCTCTAGTTCCATAAAGAAGTCTTAGGAGAGGGCCAGACTAGCCACCCGACTGACAGGAAAGGACTACCTTCTTGTCCATGAAAGGGCACACCGCCTGAATCGTATTTTAGCAAATCTGAGTCTACAGCCCTTTTTTCAGTATCTTTGAAACTGTGCTATGTAGGGAAATTATTTTATACGAACTATAAGATGCTGCGGATGAGTAGCTTATACTTAAAGTCATCCCTACGAGACACTCTATTGTGTGTAAGGAAACAAACATGGTGAGAAGCCAGGGCTGATATTCTCATGCCTAGCAGGTACAGGAAGCCACGTCCAGCCCAGAGCCTCCCACCTTTACGAGGGCCACCACCATGCCAGGCCAGGAGGGAGTGTCTGTGGGGCTCGTGGTCAGCATTGGGTGGCCCACAGCACCTGCACCTCGGAAGACACTGGCAGGAAGCTGCCCTCTGTCTGATGAATCCACACACACACCCGCCCCATGGTGGTGGTGGGGGGGGGGCGTCCCTGGCCCAGCAGAGCCCCCTCGGGCTCGGACCCTGGCAGACTCTGAGCTCTAAGCTGCCTGTGAGGGTCCCCGGAACTCCAGTTCCCACGTCAGCATGGGTCGTGCCTCTGCATTGAAGGTCCGCATGGTTGCATCTGATCTCCTTGTTTTCATCTTGAGCTCACTGAAAGGTGTCTTGTGTCCTATAGGACATGAGCTGGTTTGACGATCACAAAAACAGCACGGGCGCACTTTCTACGAGACTCGCAACGGATGCCTCCCAAGTCCAAGGGGTACGTAGACTGCCCTCCGCTCCTGTTTTCCTTCAGCGCGGCTGTGAGTAAACATACGGCATGGCTGTGCCTGTTACGTTGCTTTCAGCTGGACACGGCAAAGCTCAAACAGGCCTAAACCGGTGGTCAGCAAACTCATTAGTCACCAGAGCCAAACATCATCAGTACAACGGTTGAAATGTCTTTTGAGAGCCAATATTTTTAAACTTAAACTTCTTCTAACGCCACTTCTTCAACATAGACTCGCCCAGGCCGTGGTATTTTGTGGAAGAGCCACACTTCAAGGGGCCAAAGAGCCGCATGTGGCTCGCGAGCCGCAGTTTGCTGACCACAGACATAGGGCATAGCTGCGCCTGTTGAGTTGCTTTCAGCTGGAAGTGGCAAAGCTCAAACAGGCCTACACAATAAAGACGAAGGTTGGACTTCAGGGCCGATGGGCCCACGGGCTCAGAATTGTCAGGAAGGACCCAGGTGCCCTCTGTGTGGCTCTGAGTGGCTTTCCGTCCGGAGCATTGGCTTCACCCGCCGCCTCCGTCCCTCCAGGCGCCAGGGCGGCTGCCAGGAGTCACCAGAGCCACCGCTCTCTGTTTCCCACCAGCGACAGCACACACATGCGCCTCAACCGCCAGATGAGCGCCCTGCCCTTAAGTCCGCCTGAGCTCATTTGGGTCGGATGCCAGGCCCCGAGCCAGTGCCTGTGTCTCTGGGAAATGCCAGCTCTCCCTGGCTTGGGTCCCCACTCCTGCAGCTGAGGTCTGTCGCTGTGAAGCCCTCTGTATCCTCAGGGCTCAGGGGAGGGGGAAGGGTCCCAGGCAGCCCCGCTTTCTGAGAGGTACCAACAGTCGTTCATGTCCATGGGTGCCCACAGGGGACGGGCTGAGGGCGTGCACGCTTTGTAACAGGTGGTCTCTTTTTTTTTAAATATATTTTTTATTGATTTTTATACAGAGAGGAAGGGAGAGGAATAGAAAGACAGAAACATTGATGAACTGAAACCGGTTTAGCTCAGTGGATAGAGCGTCGGCCTGCGGACTGAAAGGTCCGGGGTTTGATTCCGGTCAAGGGCATGTACATTAGTTGTGGGCACATTCCCAGTAGGGGGTGTGCAAGAGGCAGCTGGTCGATGTTTCTAACTCTCTATCCCTCTCAATTCCTCTCTGTAAAAAATCAATAAAATATATTTTTTTAAAATTTTTTAAAGAAACATTGATGAGAGAGGAACATTGATCAGCTGCCTTCTGCACACCCCCTACAGGGGATGTGCCCACAACCAAGGTACATGCCCTTAACCAGAATCAAACCCGGGACCTTTCAGTCTGCAGGCCGACACTCTATCCACTGAGCCAAACCAGCTAGGGCAACAGGTGGTCTCTTGAAGGATTACATTTCCCTCTGGCACGTTTAAAGCAAACCGTCTTCAGCATGACCAGAGAACACCGGTACGGGGGTTTCCTCTGTGAACGTTGCCTTCACAAAAGGTGTGGGTGCCCCACAGCCCGCCCCCAAGCAGAGCCGCTGACCCCTCGGTGGGCAGGAGAGGAGCGAGAGGTGAAAACACCTGCAGGGCCTCGTGCGGGCGTTGAGCACAGGGGTCTTGGGTTTATTGTAGTGAAAGGGAGCAAACGTCAGCGCAGGCGCAACATCCTGCCACCCGGGAAGCCTAAACCACTTCTCTCTCTCCCTCTCCCTCCCCCTCCCCTTCCCCCTCTCTTCTGCTCCCCCTCTCCCCCTCTCCCCCTCTCCTCCTCTCCTCCTTTCCTCCTCTCCTCCTCTCTTCCTCTCCTCCTCTCCTCCTCTCCTCCTCTCTCCCTCTCTCTCTCTCTCTCTCCCTCTCCCCCTCTTCCCTCTCCCCTCTTCCCCTCTTCCCCTCTCCTCTCTCCTCCTCTCTCTCTCTCTCCTCTCTCTCTCTCTCTCTCTCTCTCTCTCTCTCTCTCTCTCTCTCTCTCTCTCTCTCTCTCTCTCTCTCCCCCTCTCCCCTCTCCCTCTCTCCTCCTCTCCCCCTCTCTCCCTCTCTCCCTCCCTTCCTCTCTCACTCTCTCTCCCCCTCTCCCCCTCTCTCCCCCTCTCTCCCCTCCAGGCCACGGGAACCAGGTTGGCTTTGATGGCACAGAACACAGCCAACCTCGGGACTGGCATCATCATATCGTTTATCTACGGTTGGCAGTTAACTCTCCTGCTGCTATCGGTTGTTCCCATTATCGCTGTGTCAGGGATTGTGGAGATGAAGATGTTGGCTGGAAATGCCAAACGAGATAAGAAGGAACTGGAAGCCGCTGGAAAGGTGGGTCACATGAGGCTTCCATTAGCGTGAGCATTGTGTTTGGACATGTGTTTTCTGTGTTAGCGTGAGCATTGTGTTTTGGCATGTTTTATTTGAATTACTTATTGCAACGCGAGTGTTTTAAGAATTAATGTTTTCATGATTAAGCGTTTGTGTTCACTACAGCTGTTATTGCCAGCACTGTGCATGAAACATTGACTGTTAAGAATGCCTAGAACTTGAACATGGAATAATGGAAAACGTTTAGCCTGTAGAAAGCACTTTACGTGGGGTCATTATACAGAATATCTGAATTTCCAAAGCTGATTTTACCCTGATGCCATTGTTAGGACAAATATCACCCCTATTTTACAGTTGAGTCCTTAAAACAGAGAATGTAAGTAAATTGTTCAAGGTAGGGAACTTGCTGATTCTTAGAAGTTCTTTTCTTCTTGGCTGTGATTTCTGTAATTGAGGCGGACCACCACCAGAGGGCAGTAACGCTTCGATTTGTGGTTCTAACTAAAATGGCAATTGGGCAAACACTTAGTCTTGACTGTGTGCCAATTATTGTTCTAAGTTGGTGTATTTATGTGCATCAACTCATTATAGCCTCACAACAACCCTACGAGGCAGGCACTCGTGTTACCCTGATTTTACTCACGTGGAACCTGAGAATCAAACAAGTGAAAGGCATGGCTGGGATTCAAATCTGGGCCTAATTTTGAAGCTCTTTATTACACAGCCCCTTTATACGTGTTTATTTTTTTTTTTTTTTTTTTGCTTTTTTAAAAATGTTATTGTTTATCTTTATTTTTTTTTTTTTTTTTTTTTTTTAAATCAATCTTTATTGTTCATATTATTACACAGGTTCCTCGTTTCTTCCCCCCTCCACCAGGTTCCCACCCCACCCTCTGCCCCCTCATCCTCATCCATTGGTGCACAGTTTATGTTCAGTCTCTTCCTCCCTCCCTTTCCCCGATAGTAAATCCCTTTTCAGATAGCAAATCTGTTACTTAGCATTCTCTCATATCAATAATACCTCCACATGCCCAATGATACACTTCACACAAAAGACATTTCCTAATAGGACAACCAGCCTCATCCAGGCCCCACTCAAGGCACTCACAGATCAACACCCCAGGACTATACTAACTCAACACATCCAGATATAAGCCTTCATCACTTGATTCAGCAGACCCTCAAGTTCCCGCAAAAGTTTCCAGCCATGTCTGAGAGGCAGCCGTGGGGCAGGGGCAGGTGAGGAGCGAGCTGTTTTGGGCCAGGCTGCTCCGGGCCTGGCCTCTGTTGCTCTGGTTTGTTCCACAACCAGCTGCTCCGTGTCTGGTCACTGCCGCTCCTGACCCAGTTGCTCTGGACTTGGCTGTTGCTGCTACAGGCCTGGCCACACCCGACTCGGCTGCTCTGGGCCCAATTGCTCCGGGCCCGGCCGCTCCGGGCCTGGCTGCTCCCAGCCTGTCAGCCGCTGCTCCGAGCCTGGCCACTCCCAGCCTGGCAGCCACTGCTCTGGGCCTGGCCGCACCAGACCCGGCTGCTCCGGGCCTGGCCGCTCCCAGCCTGGCAGTTGCTGCTCCGGGTCTGGTCACTGCCACTCCCGACCTAGTTGCTCTGGACTTGGCTGTTGCTGCTACAGACCTGGCCACACCCGACCCGGCTGCTCTGGGCCCGGTTGCTCCGGGCCCGGCCACTCCGGGCCTGGCTGCTCCCAGCCTGTCAGCCGCTGCTCCTGGCCTGGCCGCACCAGACCCGGCTGCTTCGGGCCTGGCCGCTCCCAGCCTGGCAGCCGCTGCTCCGAGCCTGGCCACTCCCAGCCTGGCAGCCACTGCTCCGGGCCTGGCCGCACCAGACCCGGCTGCTCCGGGCCTGGCCGCTCCCAGCCTGGCAGTCGCTGCTCCGGGTCTGGTCACTGCCCCTCCCGACCTAGTTGCTCTGGACTTGGCTGTTGCTGCTACAGACCTGGCCACACCCGACCCGGCTGCTCTGGGCCCGGTTGCTCCGGGCCCGGCCACTCCGGGCCTGGCTGCTCCCAGCCTGTCAGCCGCTGCTCCTGGCCTGGCCGCACCAGACCCGGCTGCTCCGGGCCTGGCCGCTCCCAGCCTGGCAGCCGCTGCTCCGAGCCTGGCCACTCCCAGCCTGGCAGCCACTGCTACGGGCCTGGCCGCATCAGACCCGGCTGCTCCGGGCCTGGCCGCTCCCAGCCTGGCAGTCGCTGCTCTGGGTCTGGTCGCTGCCACTCCCCACCTAGTTGCTCTGGACTTGGCTGTTACTGCTACAGGCCTGGCCACACCCGACCCGGCTGCTCTGGGCCCGGTTGCTCCGGGCCCGGCCGTTCCGGGCCTGGCTGCTCCCAGCCTGTCAGCCGCTGCTCCGAGCCTGGCCACTCCCAGCCTGGCAGCCACTGCTCCGGGCCTGGCCGCACCAGACCCGGCTGCTCCGGGCCTGGCCGCTCCCAGCCTGGCAGTTGCTGCTCCGGGTCTGGTCACTGCCACTCCCGACCTAGTTGCTCTGGACTTGGCTGTTGCTGCTACAGACCTGGCCACACCCGACCCGGCTGCTCTGGGCCCGGTTGCTCCGGGCCCGGCCACTCCGGGCCTGGCTGCTCCCAGCCTGTCAGCCGCTGCTCCTGGCCTGGCCGCACCAGACCCGGCTGCTCCGGGCCTGGCCGCTCCCAGCCTGGCAGCCGCTGCTCCGCGCCTGGCCACTCCCAGCCTGGCAGCCACTGCTCCGGGCCTGGCCGCACCAGACCCGGCTGCTCCGGGCCTGGCCGCTCCCAGCCTGGCAGTCGCTGCTCCGGGTCTGGTCACTGCCCCTCCCGACCTAGTTGCTCTGGACTTGGCTGTTGCTGCTACAGACCTGGCCACACCTGACCCGGCTGCTCTGGGCCCGGTTGCTCCGGGCCCGGCCACTCCGGGCCTGGCTGCTCCCAGCCTGTCAGCCGCTGCTCCTGGCCTGGCCGCACCAGACCCGGCTGCTCCGGGCCTGGCCGCTCCCAGCCTGGCAGCCGCTGCTCCGAGCCTGGCCACTCCCAGCCTGGCAGCCACTGCTCCGGGCCTGGCCGCACCAGACCCGGCTGCTCCGGGCCTGGCCGCTCCCAGCCTGGCAGTCGCTGCTCTGGGTCTGGTCGCTGCCACTCCCCACCTAGTTGCTCTGGACTTGGCTGTTACTGCTACAGGCCTGGCCACACCCGACCCGGCTGCTCTGGGCCCGGTTGCTCCGGGCCCGGCCGTTCCGGGCCTGGCTGCTCCCAGCCTGTCAGCCGCTGCTCCGGGCCTGGCCGCTCCCAGCCTGGCAGCCGCTGCTCCGAGCCTGGCCACTCCCAGCCTGGCAGCCACTGCTCCGGGCCTGGCCGCACCAGACCCGGCTGCTCCGGGCCTGGCCGCTCCCAGCCTGGCAGTCGCTGCTCCGGGTCTGGTCACTGCCCCTCCCGACCTAGTTGCTCTGGACTTGGCTGTTGCTGCTACAGACCTGGCCACACCTGACCCGGCTGCTCTGGGCCCGGTTGCTCCGGGCCCGGCCACTCCGGGCCTGGCTGCTCCCAGCCTGTCAGCCGCTGCTCCTGGCCTGGCCGCACCAGACCCGGCTGCTCCGGGCCTGGCCGCTCCCAGCCTGGCAGCCGCTGCTCCGAGCCTGGCCACTCCCAGCCTGGCAGCCACTGCTCCGGGCCTGGCCGCACCAGACCCGGCTGCTCCGGGCCTGGCCGCTCCCAGCCTGGCAGTCGCTGCTCTGGGTCTGGTCGCTGCCACTCCCCACCTAGTTGCTCTGGACTTGGCTGTTACTGCTACAGGCCTGGCCACACCCGACCCGGCTGCTCTGGGCCCGGTTGCTCCGGGCCCGGCCGTTCCGGGCCTGGCTGCTCCCAGCCTGTCAGCCGCTGCTCCGAGCCTGGCCACTCCCAGCCTGGCAGCCACTGCTCCGGGCCTGGCCGCACCAGACCCGGCTGCTCCGGGCCTGGCCGCTCCCAGCCTGGCAGTTGCTGCTCCGGGTCTGGTCACTGCCACTCCCGACCTAGTTGCTCTGGACTTGGCTGTTGCTGCTACAGACCTGGCCACACCCGACCCGGCTGCTCTGGGCCCGGTTGCTCCGGGCCCGGCCACTCCGGGCCTGGCTGCTCCCAGCCTGTCAGCCGCTGCTCCTGGCCTGGCCGCACCAGACCCGGCTGCTCCGGGCCTGGCCGCTCCCAGCCTGGCAGCCGCTGCTTCGAGCCTGGCCACTCCCAGCCTGGCAGCCACTGCTCCGGGCCTGGCCGCACCAGACCCGGCTGCTCCGGGCCTGGCCGCTCCCAGCCTGGCAGTCGCTGCTCCGGGTCTGGTCACTGCCACTCCCCACCTAGTTGCTCTGGACTTGGCTGTTGCTGCTACAGACCTGGCCACACCCGACCCGGCTGCTCTGGGCCCGGTTGCTCCGGGCCCGGCCGTTCCGGGCCTGGCTGCTCCCAGCCTGTCAGCCGCTGCTCCTGGCCTGGCCGCACCAGACCCGGCTGCTCCGGGCCTGGCCACTCCCAGCCTGGCAGCCGCTGCTCCGAGCCTGGCCACTCCCAGCCTGGCAGCCACTGCTCCGGGCCTGGCCGCACCAGACCCGGCTGCTCTGGGCCCAGTTGCTCCGGGCCCGGCCACTCCGGGCTTGGCTGTTCCCAGCCTGTCAGCCGCTGCTCCGGGCCTGGCCGCACCAGGCCCGGTTGCTCCGGGCCTGGCCGCTCCCAGCCTGGCAGCCACTGCTCCGGGCCTGGCCGCACCAGACCCGGCTGCTCTGGGCCCAGTTGCCCCAGGCCCGGCTGCTCCGAGCCTGGCCGCACCTGGGCTGGATGCTTTGGGCTTGGCTTCTGCTGTTCTGGGCCTGGCTGCTCCCAACCCGGCTGCTCTGGGCCCGGCTTCTTCGGGCCCGGCCACTCCGGGTCTGGGTGTTCCTGGACTGGCCACCCTGGGCTTGGCCGCCTCTGCCTCAAGCCTGGCTGCCCCTGCCCCAGGTCTGGCTGCTCCAGTGCTGGCCGTTGATGCTCTGGTTCTGGCCGCTGCTGCTCTGGGGCCTGGCCGCTGCTGCTCCGGGTCCGGCTGCCACTGCCTTGTGCCTGGCCACTCTAGGCCTGGTCGCCGCTGTTCCAACATTCTGTCCTTTTTTTTTTTTTTTTTTTTTTTTTTTTTAAACGCATTTATGTTGCAATGTTGCCTGGTGAGTTGAGTTCTGACTTAGTCTTTGATTTTTCAAGATATACTTTGCATTCTTTCTTAAGTAATTTTACTATCATTTGCTCTCACTTGATTTCTTCACATTGAGAACTTCTATTGTTTCTTCCTTCCCGTCCTGGAATCTCAGCAGGTTGGCCTGTGGCACCCCTTTGTTCTCCGCGGGCTCCTGCGCTGCTTCAGCTTGTCGCCAGGGTTGGCGCCACCCAGGAAGCATCCCCGGTCCTTGGCTCTGTTGCCTGCGCTCAGCGGTCGAGGGCTCAGGGGCACCCCCCCCCCTGGAGGCCCCGTCGCCCGGCTCCTTGCTGGCACCCGGCTGGCAGGTGTCCAGCGGGGGCTCCTGCTCCTCGTCACGATCCTCCAGTCTGGAGCTTTCTTTCTCTCTCCCGCTAGGGGAGTCCAGGATCAGAGTCAACAGACTGTCCTCTGCGCGCAGTGTGCGCGACTCCGGGAGCTCGGCCTTTCGCCGCGCTCCCAGGACTCCACCTCACAGCCCCGTCTCCCCCTGCCCAGCCTGGGTCCCCAGGGACTGGCCCAGACTGGGAGTTCGGGGCGGTCTGAGGCTCAGCGCCGCCGGAGGCTTTGTTTCTTCTGGCTTGGGTAATCCAGCATCAGAGTCAACATTCAGTCCTCTGCGCACAAAGCGCGCGACTCCGGGGGACCCCGCCTTTCGCGCCGTCCCCGGGATTTTGCCTCACAGCTCCGTCTCCCCGTGCCCGGGCCTGGGTCCCCAGGGACTGGCCCAGACCGGGCCGTTCTGAGGCTCAGCGCCGCCGGAGGCTTTGTTCCTTCCGGCTAGGGTAATCCAGCATCAGAGTCTACATTCAGTCCTCTGCGCACAAAGCGCGCGACTCCGGGGGCCCCCGCCTTTCGTTTTTCCCCTGAGATTCAGCCTCCCAGCCCCGTCTCCCCCTGCCGGAGCCTGGGTCCCCAGAATCTGGCCCATAATGGGGCTCAGCGCTGCCAGTTCGGGGGTTCAGCCCAGGCTGGGGGTTTCATTTCCTTCCTGCTAGGGAACGCCAGGCAGCACCCAGCCCTCTCCTCCTCTCCGGCTGCGACCTCTCGGTGCGCGCAAACGTGCGAGCGCGCAGCATGTCTCCGTACCTTAGGCTCTTTTTTCAGCTCCTCTGACTTTCCCTCTGGCTTTCTCCCACCTTCCTATTGTAGAGTTTTCAGTCAGTCGACCACCTGTAGGTCTGGGCAATGTCCACTCTACATTTTAGTTGTATTCCATTGAAATTGTTGTGAGCTGCTGCGGTTAGGTGTCTACCCGAGCAGCCATCTTGGATCCTCCCCTTTATACGTGTTTAAATGTGTCTAAGCCTACATAAAAATATTTTATTTACATGTATATGCATTTAAAATTTTAATTGTAGGTTTCAGCCAGGGTATTTTTTTTTTTTACTCTTACTTATGTAAATATTATCCTTTATTGAAACATTACGAGGTGAAGCAATGCATGAATATGTAGTGTGATAGTTTCTACAGCATGAGACTTTCCTAAGCCTGTTCATAAACATGACTGCAATTGGCCTTTGCTGCAGCTAAGTGGGTGGGACTCCCATTCACAGGGAAGGAAGCATTCAGAAGAGGAGAGTGACCTGCTCCAGGGCGAGGGCATGCAAGGGGTGAGAGTAGAATCCCAACAAGCCTGTGGCCACTGAGTCAGTGAGAGCCAGTGAGAGCCTTGTCCCCTTCTCTCTAACGGCATCAGCTGAGTTCAAAGCAGCGTCGGTCTCACCGCCAGCTTCCCATCAGACGCTTCCTTCTCGGGTGGGTCCTGCAGCCTCTCCGAGTCAGGGCTCTAGCACGGTGCAAGGTGCCCAAACTCAGGAGCCCCGGTGCCCGACGTGCTGGAAGAGCCGCCGGGCTCCTGGCGGTGGGACTTCGGGGCATCATGTCCTTGACTTCTGTGTGTCACAGCTCACGGCTGGGAAAACATCCTGTGTGTGGTGTGGTTTCCTTTCTCCTTTGTACTCCGTGTCCTTTCCCATTTCAGAAGGGAGGATTGTCAGTAGATAGAATGAAGATACTTTTTTCTTCGACTGGTGACGTGAGAGAAAACATCGTGAACCTGGTGAAGACAATAGAGTCTGCACTCTACTGTAATTGGCTAAAGGGCACTGAAAGTTGCCGGAATTGGGGCCGGAGGAAGGCAGTTGGAATTGAGCAGTGTGGCAGACCAACACGGCACCCTGGGTTAGAATCTTGGCTTTGCTGCTCACCGTGTGTGATACGAGAGGAGGTCTGGTCCTCACGTTCACTTTTATGAAATGAGGAATTGTACCAGATAATGCCCCAAGTTCCTTTCAGCTAATAACATACTCTGCCATTCTAGGGATCAGAGAATGAGGAACTCAGACTGACCACTCTGAAACCATGTTTAGCAGCTACTTTAACCTAGCCAGGTGATTTTTAAGAAAATATGAGATTGGAAATTTTAAATGTCCATTACCAGCAATTTAATCACAGTTCAAGTTTGTTTACTTAATCAGCACAGAATGAGGGTTTGAAAGAAGTCTCCGAAAACTACCCACATCACTGTATTTTTTTTTTTATCCTCAAATTGAAATGTTCTCATGTATCTGGTGGAGATATTCATGGGAAAAGTACATTGGGATTCAGGATATCTTACCATTTTCATTTTTGAAAAAGGGCTTGGTAGAGAGGGTGTTGATTGCTTGGCTGGGAAGGGGGGTGGAGAAGGATGAATAGTACCCCTCCCTCTTGGATTCTGCCTAATTACTGAGTTTAAGGACCTGCTGAATCAGAATTAACCCTCCAAGCAGTTAATCCACGACCAGAGAATCAAGACTTGAGTGTATCTAGTTATTAACAACCAGTTCCTCCTTGTGTAGATGACAAAGCATGGAGAGCAGAATGGCATACTGAGTCAAGAACCTGGACTTGGCCTTAGGTAGACTGTCTTTGCTTGCCTACTCCCTAGCTCAAGAGCTTTAAGCAAGCACGTAACTTCTCTGTGCATCAGTTCCTCGCCTGTGAAAGCAGGAATAATATTTACCTCGTGGGGTTATTGTGAGACCAAATGAGATCATGTCAGTTAAATGAGGTAATACCTGGCACATAGTAAAAGCTCAATAAGTGTTCTCTACTCCAGCTATTATTACTGTTAGGTTTTTTTTCATTTATAATAGAGATAGAAAGCTATTCAGCCTGAAGTATCAAATATCTTGCCTTTTTTCTGGCTACAGAAGCGGAGAGCTAAGGTTGAAGTCACAAAGCTGATAAAACAACCTAAAATTAAGGCCTGAAGTCCCTTGTGCTAGTGGTTTAAGACGACAGCTGCAGATCTATGCTTTGGCCTGATAATCTGTCACAGACAGTGAACATCAGTCAAGGGGAGGCTTGGCTGTCATCTGAGAACTGCTCTGGCTGGTTTGGGTAAAGGGGGTGTGATGTAAGGACACACAGAAGAGCAGGGAACACCTGTGGCTTATGTTACTGGAAAGGCATGGCTCCTCCTTCAGAGTCACAGGCTCTCTTGTCTGTGAGGCCCTCTGTGCATTTGTTCTGCTTCTCGATTGCTGCATATTCAGACCAGCTCCCACACATACCCTGGTGACCTTAGCCTCCCAATCCAAGGACTTCTCAGTTCAAGCAGATGCCTCCAGGTCCAGGAAATAATCTGATTGGCCTGCATCAGCCAGGGGTCTGTCCCGGATTTAATTAGGGATTTATGGCAGGGTCATGTTATTTACAATTTGGATCTTCTTTCCAATTGTGGGTGCAAGTTCCTCTACGAAGGGATATGCTCAAATGATTGACACTACTTGTGGGCCATTTTCTGGCGTATAAGACGACCCCCTAATTTTACAGTTAAAACCTAGGTTTAAGGCCTATATTCGCTGTATAAAACTACCGCCCACTTCAAAGAAAAGACTTACTTTGCCGTCAAGATCTGCAGGTAATTTTTGTGCAATTTTGGTCTTTTGCCCCCGATTTTCGGTTGACTTTTTTTTGTTTCAAAAGTCGTCTTATACGCCCGGGAAATACGGTAGCCTAACTCTCTAGGACTCCACCCTGTGATGAAAGCAAGCCATGAAGGTCTGACTGAAGTCAGTCAAGTACCTGCCTGGGGGCAGGGCTGGGAATAGAATCAGTCTCTAGTGCTCAGGCTACCGTTCTTGCCCTAAGCTTTTTGGTCTGCCCAGAATACAGAAACCTGTCCAATGCACTTGGCACAACCACAAGTGCTTTTCAGGTTGCCAGTTGTGTCGTTCAGCTCGTCTTAAAGAACACATTGTTATGTCTTTGCGTTCAAAATGGAGGAACTTCAAACCCTTCAGGATTCTTTTCAGAGTGCCTCATGGTTTATGTTTTTCGTTGTTTCAGAAGGAAAAGCCCCATGTCTAATCAAGATCTGTTCTACATTACAGATTGCAACAGAGGCGATAGAAAATATTAGGACGGTTGTGTCCTTGACCCAGGAAAAAAAATTTGAATCAATGTATGTGGAAAAATTGTACGGACCTTACAGGTAATGAACACATGATCGTTACTAAGAACCGAGTGCCAGCCTTAGGCTGAGTTATTGTCCCCAAAAGATAATAAACCTCTGTTGCTCCAAGCACTAATGCAACTGTAAGGATGGCATTTTTACTTTTTTATTTTTTGCTAATTATCTTACTGAAAATAACTAGCTTTTTGATGCAACTGAGCCACAGGATCAGATTTTCCTATCTCTTTTAAAAACAATACAATGGGTCTCCAAGAATCGAAGGTCTAGAAGACTGTGCAAGTTTTTGTTCATCAGTGCCGACAACAGAAACAGCCCATCTGGCTGAGGCAGGACAAACATTGCTTTTGGGAAACTGCTTTAAACCTTTATTTTCTTTGGATTGTGTAGACTGAGCCAAAGGAGAGGCTTGTTTTTTAGTTAAACCTTATCCACGGTTTTGCCTTCCATAGTTTCAGTAACCTTGTCAACGCCGGTTGAAATATTACATGGAAAATTCCAGAAATAAACAATTCATAAGTTTTATTTTATTTTTTTATTAAAGCATAATTGACTTACAATGTTATAGTAATTGCAGTTGTAAAACATAGTGGCTTAGTACTTACATATATAATGGAATGATCGTCGTAAGTCTGGTTACCTTCTGTCACCACACTTTGGGGCCCTCAGATATGAGCATCAGCCTCATTGGTTTTCTAAGTCAGGTGTTGTGAATATATTTTAATACTAACAAAACTGAATACAACTTAGATTACAACTCTGTAGACTGGGATAGTTTGAACACTTACAGATTTGAAAACGGATATCTGAAATTCTCAATTTATTCTATCTCCTTTTTAGGTATACTTCATGCAGCTACATTTTTCTGTCCACTTGGTATTTGACATATACATTAGGCATTATTTATAACCTTGTGGTTTATTGGAACTGCAAGGAATTAAGGAATAATAGAATGCTAAAGCTAATTTCTAATTTGATTGCAATTTAAAATATATGTTATTGATTTTTTACAGAGAGTAAGGGAGAGAGATAGAGAGCTAGAAACGTTGATGAGAGAGAAACATCGACCAGCTGCCTCCTGCATACCCCCTACCGGGGATGTGCCCGCAACCAATGTACATGCCCTTGACGGAATCAAACCTGGGACCTTTCAGTCTGCAGACCGACGCTCTACTACTGAGCCAAACCAGCTTCGGCTAATTTGATTGCAATTTAAAGATTCAATATCATTGTAAATTTTTCAGTGTTATTAGTATTGTAATAATAATCATAGCGCATGACTTAAAAGTCATCCAAGTCAGTAATACTTTGACTTTTCTCTCTTGGCAAATGCTTTCTTCCTAATCATTCTAATCTAAAAGTAAATTATTGTTCTTTTAGAGGATTTAGAATAATCATTAGCTATACTGAGGATGGGATCTAGTTAGAAATAATACTAAAAACTTATTGGGGCTGATGGCATCTAGCTGAGGAAAGACTGGCCAATGTGTTTTTATATAAACCTCAGTGACACTACTTTTCTGAATCAGAAAGATGAGTTTTGACATAAAAGATGATAACTAGTCATAGAAGACAAGATAATGATATTAAAGAAACCACATTCAGACAACTCAAAGTTTAGTGCTAACTTTGACATCCTCAATATTTTTAACACAATAATCATGTTTACATCATAGGGATTGACTGTCTGGGTCAGCAACTATCATTTGAACAACCGCTAAGAGCTAGGTTCTAAGCTAGAGATTTATATTGTTTATTTAGTTCTCAAAACAATTCTGCATCATATTGGTTATCCTCATTGTACAAATCAGAAAACTGCTACATAGAAAGATTAAGTCACTTAAACTAAGATAGCTGGAGCAGAAGATAAACCCAGGTCAAGCAGACTTAGAAGCTGTGCTCTTTCCACTGCACAGTGCCAAGAGTGGTCGAAGAGATGGTTATGAATGCTCTAATTTGCTTTTCAGAAATTCTGTACGGAAGGCACACATCTATGGAATTACTTTTAGTATTTCACAAGCATTTATGTATTTTTCCTATGCTGGTTGTTTTCGATTTGGTGCCTATCTCATCGTGAATGGACATATGCTCTTCAGAGATGTTATTCTGTAAGTAATTTTTAAATATATTTTATTAATTTTTTACGGAGAGAAAGGGAGAGGGATAGAGAGTTAGAAACATCGATGAGAGAGAAACATCGATCAGCTGCCTCCTGCATACTCTCTACTGGGTACATGCCCTTGATCAGAATCGAACTTGGGACACTTGAGTCTGCAAGCCAACGCTCTGTCCACTGAGCCAAACTGGTGAGGGCAATTTTTAAAATATTAAGAATATTCTATAGTAAGATTTCAATATATCTATGCAAAATTTTAGAGTAGAAAAAACTCCTCTCTTGTCCTAAAATAAGTTTAGAGAGTTGAATCAACTACAGAAATCTGATCTAATCAATACTATAAGGACAGTTTAATCACTGGAGTGTCAAAAACTAACCCAGTTCATCATAAACCAGAATTTTAGGACTGGCTAGAACTCCAGACAAGAGGATAGCAAATTTTCTTATTGTATAATGTAGGCAGATAGAAATCATAGTTAGAAAGTCACTGGTGACCATAGACTGAAAACAGAGGGTTAAATAGCTTGCTCTTTATGGGCAACCACAGATGGCCTTGTCAAGGAGAAGGGAATGCTTGCCTGACATCTGGCAAAGGCTCTGTCCCCTAACCAGACTTGGGATGACCGTGCCAACATTTGCCTTAGTCTCTCTCCTATTTGCTTGATTTCCAAGGCTAACCAGTGGTCTTTCTAATTGATACATTCCTCTTTTCAAAATATGCTAAATGCTTTCAATTAAGTTGCAGCCTAGTCTTGCCAAAGGGAAGCCATTCTTTTTTTGAGATCACTTGGCATATTTCTACTCTGATGTGGTGATTTTAAAGCACTACTGAGGAACCACTAAAAAAAAAAAAGTCAAAACAAGGAAGGTGAAGTGTTTAAAAGCCGTTCTTTTCATCCGAAATTGAAATACTATGGAAAAAAAAAGAAAAGTGCCCTCTGTCCTCTTTGGTGGAGGCATACCAATGACATAGCAAACAGAAAGAAACCAAATACCCTGGCCTCCCTCTCCTCCAGCCCTCGCACCCCCAGCCAGTCCCCTTCATTGCCAAACCCCATCAGACGCCAGAGGACAGAAAAGCTGTTGGTGCAGTCCACGAAGGGTCAGCCCCTGACAGATGGGGAAAGTGCAACATCGAGATGGGCAGAGAGTAGAAAGTGGTTTGGGAAGATCAAATGGAAAAATGCAGCTCAGCTCGGGGGACTGACAACTTGGAGTATTTCTACTGTCTAGGAAAATATCACTGAGAAAATGGGTCTTTTTTTTTTGTTTCATTTTTACCATCAAAATAGTAAACTCTGGATAACTTGAAGCCAGTTTTTTTTTTTTAATATATTTTTATTGATTTTACACAGAGAGGAATTGAGAGGGATAGAGAATTAGAAACGTCGATGAGAGAGAAACATCGACCAGCTGCCTCTTGCACATCTCCCACTGGGGACGTGCCTGCAACTAAGGTAAATGCCCTTGACCGGAATCGAACCCGGGACCTTTCAGTCCATAGTCCGACGCTCTATCCACTGAGCCAAACCAGTTTTGGCATCGAAGCCAGTTTTTAATCTTCCGTGCTAACACTAGATTGGTATAGGAAAGCTAGGCAACTACACATGGCTTCATCACTATTTGGCAATTTAATTTTTGGTAACCAAACTTACCAAGTATTTGAGAGCCTTACTGTACCCACCATTCCTGTCCCCGTGTCATTAAAACACATTTTAATATCCTAGATGTAGAAGCTTGGTAGGAGCAAAAAGGTTTTACGTTCCCATTATGACCAGATAGGGGTTTTCTCCCTCTACCTTCCTCTGAGGGAGGTCTGGTGCCAGAAGCAAATGGCTTTGAGGAGATGAAGGTCCTGGAATCTTTGGCCCTTCGTAAGCACAGTTATAATCCATGTCTGTCCTCTAAAGACTATTTAATTAGGAAGGAGACCGTTAGCTTAGGACGATTGTTTCAGGGTAGTGTCAATAATTATCTTAATTCTCAGGAAAGGCTATTTCTGGTAAAGGCTCGGTTTTTTCCTTACCCAAACTCTTTAACCCCAGTGGTCACTGGTGTTTGTGTGGGAGTCTGGCAGAAACCTCACACTGGCCGTCAGGGCTGTAGATTCAAGAGGAAACATGACTTGGCGCTGACCAAGCCCCTGAACACGCGCTCTACTCCAGTTCCCTCAGCTCTAAAACGGGTATCCCTGGTCGTTAACGTTCCTGGAGATTACAAATCAGATTCAGTTATAAGCCACTTCCAAAAGGAGAACTGTGGAAAGTTACAGGAACTCTAAGGAAGTAGAGGCACCTAAGGAATAAAGAAACCCTCCATGGTGACCCTCCTCGCCTGTGGATTTTGCTCCTTAGTTACTGGAATTTCACGGGAATGTGGGGTGAGGTGGGGTGGGAGCATGACTAAGGGGGTTAAAAAATATCAGTGCTGCTGGGCAGTGTGTCTGTGGACTTTTAAACATGGAGCTAATTATGCAGGCTGACGTTTTAATCCCTCTCCTTCCTGTCTCTAGGGTGTTTTCAGCAATCGTGTTTGGCGCAGTGGCGCTAGGACATGCCAGCTCTTTTGCTCCAGACTACGCCAAAGCCAAGTTGTCCGCAGCCCACTTGTTCATGCTGTTTGAAAGACAACCTCTGATTGACAGCTACAGCGAGGAAGGCCTGAGGCCGGTGAGTTCTCTGCCGCCTTCTGCGTGCTTGGTTAATCGTTTCCCCAAGGTCTGCTGTCTGCTGGGTTGTGACCCCAGGATAAATCTATAATGATCACACTGACATTTATTCATCTTAATGATATTTACAGATCTAGGATTTGGCCAACTTTCTTGGCATTTTAAAATTCCATAGGGAGTTTCAAGGATTCTGAAGTTTAGCACATCAAAAGTAAAAAAAAAAAAAAAAAAAAAAAAGTCCTAATGTTTATGAAAACTATTAGTCATTTCTGAGTGAAGGTATATGCATGTGATTCTGTATGTAAATGCCATGAGCAGTTTGGCTGTAATCACATCTTGTGATGACTGAATGACAATTGGTAAGAAGGCCACTGCATTCACAGGAGTAGTCGTACACTTTACTGTTTCCAAAGTTAACTCGAGCTTGGATGGGAGGGTTCTTTGCACAACACGAGCTGCTGTACATTTTACTGCACAAGAGGCAGAGTGGGTACAGAGAGAGGCCATCTTCCTGGGACTTTTCCCAGTATTCCTGTTCTGAGAAACTTGCTGTGTTAGTGAGAGAAAGAGGATGCCAGGGCTTGGGACTGGCTGCCCACTGAGCCTGCAGGTGGAATGCCCTACCTTCCCACACCTTTGAATCTTTAACCACTACCTTGGTTCCCTGCTCCCAATTCTCCTTTGAGAACGCTAAACATTTGTCTTAAATAAACCAGAAATCAAGGTTACATAACCACTGTCTATGATACGACTATTTAGTGTAACCTGTTACCCATCTTCGTTTTATAGAACAGTTTTCTGTCCGTATGAACAGGTGTTAGTCCTTGTACTGAATAGGATTTTTATGTCTTTTTTTTACTACAGTCTTTGGTAAAGTTTTCTTGAAATAAAACTGTGTGTTACAATAAGGACCAGACCGATTTACAATAGCAACATTAAAACAATGTGTGTGTGTGTGTGTGTGTGTTTTTAGGATAAGTTTGAAGGAAATGTGACGTTTAACGAAGTCGTGTTCAACTACCCGACCCGGCCCGACGTGCCGGTGCTGCAGGGGCTGAGCCTGGAGGTGAAGAAGGGCCAGACGCTGGCCCTGGTGGGCAGCAGCGGCTGCGGGAAGAGCACGGTGGTCCAGCTGCTGGAGCGCTTCTACGACCCAACGTCTGGAACCGTGGTGCGTGCACTTCCTTCCATCGGTAACCTGATTGGAGGCGCTATCTCAAGTGGTTAAACCAATGTGCCCCCAGTGAAAAAACCTGCGTAAGACCCACAGTCCTATCTGATAGGATGACCACCTTCTATAAACCCTGAACCGACACCCAGAATCAGACAGATATTGGAACAGTCAGGTAGAACATCTGGAATTTAGTTCAGGGAAATAGTGAATATGAAGTTGACCTCTATCTGCCATGGGCCTTTGGAGCAGGTCTTATCCTTCTCTGTAAACCCTAAACCCTCAGTTCCTGGTTTATAAAGGAAAGCACTAAAACTCCCGCCAGAGTGCTAAATAGGCTGCCAGGACAAGCTGGTGCCTGCTTGTTCCCTCCCCACCCCCTTCTGCTTTACCTTCTCCAACCCTAAATGCCAGGCTCTCTGGCTTTGACACTTTCAGCCCATCCGTGTTTGGTTTTCATCATTGATTTCCTGGGATCGAGCTCCAGCTCTCTTCCGTAAGTGAAGCCTCAGCTCTGATACTGCCCGCCTCTTCCATCACCTTGGGTAGCTAGCACCCACCGACCTAGCCCTGGGAGCCCACCCCCATGTAGACAGTCACCAGCGTGTTCAACCTTGTTTCAGTCACTTGGCAGTTATGAACACGGACAAACCAGCTCAGCACCGTGGCTATGCCGAGCTAATACTGGCGGGGATCTCTTGATTGAGAGGTCAAGACTAAGTGAACCTGTGTCTGTTTCTTCTCTGGTGACTCCAACCTTGCAGGAAGCTGCGTTGCAGTCACTACATCACAAGGCTCCTCTGGAAGCACCATGCCTCCTGCTTACAGCAAACAAAAAATAATCAAAACTGCCACCAACCAAACCATTCCCCCAAGGACCCTGCCCTTTGACCTGCACACTTCCCCTTGAGCTTTTGTCCTTGGTGCTGTCAGAGAGAGAACAGTTGGGGCTGGTAGATCTCAGGGGAAAGAGAAGTAGAAGTAGGTCAGGAGGTAACCAGCTTTCAGAATCTGCTTTTTGTCCTGGTCTGCCTACGGGCGGGGGACAAGTCAAGTTGAGAGGTTGGAGTCATTCTGGGGACAGCAGGTGTGAGTAGAACACCTAATTCTGGGCTTCCTAATGGCAGGGGATGGTACCCTTGCCTGAAGAGGGCAGATAGGGACAAAGAGGAATATGAAGACAGGACCCGATGTGCTGTCATTTTGCCAATTAGGCCAAGAAAGGGACAGCATGATCATCATAACGGTCATGCTGGCCTCCAATAGTGTAAGTGTGTAGGGGCTCTGAGGCCTGGTATTTCACGAACTGCTGATGCCCAAATGCACCCACATCCATTTAGTTTTTCCTTTTCAAGCCTTTCTTATAATTTGTGGACTTTGGTTTTCAGCTGCTGGATGGTCAAGAGGCAAAGAAACTCAACCTCCAGTGGCTCCGAGCCCAGCTGGGCATCGTGTCCCAGGAGCCCATCCTGTTCGACTACAGCATCGCCGAGAACATCGCATATGGAGACAACAGCCGGGTCGTGTCCCAGGAGGAGATTGTGCGTGCAGCCAAAGCCGCCAACATCCATCCTTTCATCGAGACCTTACCCCACGTAAGTTAATGGGTAACGTATTAGGATGAAATCTGAATCAACTGCACAGTTTCAAACCCTCCCCCCCCCCAGTTCCCAAAGTCAAACGCCAATGGTCTGGTAACAGGTGTCTATTTACCAGCCCTCTGACCTTGGACAAGACACGGAACTTCATGATTCCAAGTGTCCTGATGTCACGGCTGCCTCATACAAATGTAGTGAGAAATGAGGTGAAGTCAATGCTCCGTATTGTGGGTTGAGAACTGGTGGGCTGCATTCAGACTGAGGCCAAGTATCCCTGGTGATACTTTTTTTTTTTTTAATTAAACACTTTATTCTGAGATAAGTATAGATTCGCATGCAGTTGTCAAGGGATAGGAGGATCTTATGTACCTTTTACCAAGTTTTCTCCGGTGACAAAATGGAAAAACAACAGCATGATATTAACGTTGATACAATCCCCAGATCTCATTCACACTGTCTTACGTGTACATGTTTGTATGTGTGTGTATTTAGTTCTGTACAATTTTACTGCATTATAGATTCATGTATCCATCATCACAGTCGAGACACACAACGTTGTATCACCACAGAGATCCCTCATGCTGTCCTTTCATAGCTCGTATCCCTCCTTCCCACTCTCACTCCTCCAACCTCTGCAACCACTGACTGCTCATTTCTGTAACTTCCCACTTTTAGAACATTATATAAACATACAGTATACAACTGTTTGAGATGAGCTTTTCTTAGCCTAATTCCCTTTTTATTGCTGAGTAGTATTCAGTTCACTGTAAACTGAACCAACTCAATTTGTACTTTTATCCATTCTGTGCGTTTTCTGGCTTAGAGTGTTCTCTCAACATGAAGCTTACCAAGTTCTCTACTAAAGTATAATTTATCTCCCCTTTCTCCTTGTCCCACCTTATCTCCACAATTCTATCTCCCTCTGTGATTTTTAAAAATATATATTTTATTGATTTTTTACAGAGAGGAATAGAGAGAGTTAGAAACATCGATGAGAGTCATCCATCAGCTGCCTCTTGCACGCCCCCTACTGGGGATGCGCCGGCAACCAACATACATGCCCTTGACAGGAATCGAACCGGGGACCTTTCAGTACTCAGGCCAACGCTCTATCCACTGAGCCAAACTGGTTTCAGCTCCCTCTGTGTTCTTTCATAGCATGTTGCCTGTATAACTTATTTGCTACTTAACTTGTATTGAATGCTGAATATGCATTTCTCTTTAGATTTTAATTCCTTTGGGATAGGAATAAAGCTGAATTCATTTTTACACACTTCCCATAGTTCTGGGCATAACAGGTACCCAGGAAATATTTAAGTGAGTGAATGAGTATAAAAGAGAACAAACTGGGTTCCTTATTGCTCATCTAATTATATCAATTTTTAAAGAATTTTAAGCCTTAAACATTAACATTTAACCTTTTTAGGACTCTGGTGACATCAAATGACAGAATGATAATGGTAGGAATTCGAGAATTTGTTGCAGAATACCAGTGAAAATTAAGGTCACTCATTTTCTATTTGGATTTTGAAAACAAACTTTCTGTTAAATGTAAAAAAACAAACATTAAATGGACAACTAAGTAGCTGATACAGAAACTTTTTTATTGATTCCAAATTTTTTTTCCTTGTAAGTAGTACTGTCATATGTTAAGTAAAAGTTTATTCATTATAACATCAGTAATTTTGCTGGGTTAGGACCTTCATTACTTTTGTTGACTGACTTGCAGAAATACGACACAAAAGTGGGAGATAAGGGGACTCAACTCTCAGGAGGTCAGAAACAGAGGATTGCGATCGCCCGAGCCCTCATCAGACAACCTCGATTCCTGCTGTTGGATGAAGCTACTTCCGCTCTGGACACTGAAAGTGAAAAAGTACGGTCTTCCACCTCACATCCTATTTAATCTGTAAAACAGAAGGGTTTTGTGCTATTAGCCATGAAAAAAACAAACGTAAGCACAGAAAAAAAGTAAATAGAAATTTAGACAGTGGTTATTTTGAGGTAGAACATTTTCTTATTCCTTTCAGTATTTTCCAGTTTTTCTAAAATGATCATGCATTACGTTTAGAAATGCACTAAAAGTAAAGTATTCAAAAGAAAAGGCTGCATAAATCATTTTAGCATATTAATCCTCATGGAAAATACTCAATAAAAGGGACCTAGTTCCGTCAAATATTTTGTGACTAGTTAGAAATTTTTACTACTTGTGAAGATTGTAGTGACAATCCATTCTTATTATAATTAAAAAGAACATAACTGTATGTGACGTCAAATTATATTAATACACAGGCATAGAGGCAAATATTCAAAGAGATAAGGAATGACATTTTCTTGCTTGGATGGTAACATTTTTAAATTTAATGCTAAAACCTATTCATATAATTAAGGTAAGGCTTCTTCTGATCTGATTTGTGTATAGATTGTCCAAGAAGCCCTGGACAAGGCCAGAGAAGGCCGCACCTGCATTGTGATCGCGCACCGCCTGTCCACCATCCAGAACGCGGACCTGATCGTGGTGTTCCAGAACGGCAAGATCAGGGAGCACGGCACCCACCAGCAGCTGCTGGCGCAGAAGGGCCTCTACTTCTCCATGGTCAGCGTCCAGGCCGGCGCGCAGAACTCATGAACTCTTGTTATCGCATATCAAAAATAAACTCAAAACATTCTACAACTTTTGCTGACTTGTAGAAGAAGTTTCTAAGTCATCATAAAATACAGGTACATCCAATCTGGGGTTTGCTATGACAACATTTGGAATTTTGGAGTTATAAATCATCAAGACATTTCTTAATGAAATATAAAAACAGCTTAGCTCTTCCTGAGTTTTCAAAAACATACAGGGGGAAAGAGCGAAGTTCAGGTATAGAAAGCTGTAGAATTAGTAGAAGCCATAAGCCACAGTTATTATGGTTCTGAACAGTTGGTTAGATGGATGTTTTGAGAACATTTTCCCCAAGTTCAAAGAAAATATAAGTTGTTCAAAAGCCTACTCTCTCCCTGGGTGGGTTTCTAAATTATTCTACTGGGCATTGATTTTTTTTTTTAAATTAATGTATCCCCAACTTTAGGATAGTCCAAGAGAAAAATACAGTTTCCCTTAGACAAGGTAACTATGCACGCACACATTCATTCTGTAAAGCAAAAAGAAAGATATCAAGTATTTCTTTTAAATAAATGTTTAAACTCATGAATAATTATTGTACATATATCAGTATAATTTGTAACACTGGAAATACCAATAAAAATTCTTTTTCTATAACAATTGTATTGCTTTTTCCAAATAATACTAATATTCCCAGGATGTGAACCCACTTCTCCTAACAGGAAGGAAATATATTTAGATGAAGGGCAAAAAGAAATATTCCAGGCAACCCTTGGAAACTAACCACACTGAAATATTTTTTCCAGTTTACCTCAGCAAAATCAATTATTTAGGCTGGTATTCAAAGCAAGTTCTTCTACCTGTAATAAACCATATACTGTATTACCAAAGATGTTTTAAATGTGACTGTGTGTATCAGTAGACAATTTCAGATTAACCAAGAGGAGAACAACAGGGCAAGGGGCTTTAGCATAGTGACTCAACGTGAGCAGAATTCAACTTATTCTTGTGTGATTGTTCCCAAACTTGGCTGATGAAGATCATGGGCATATGCCCTGGAAACTGACTCAGTAGGTCTGCTCTCTGTAGAGCATTCTGGGTGACTTTTAACTTGAGGCGATGGAGGGAAACGTGTTAAAGCAGGAGTAAGAAGAGACTCCTTCCCAGGAGGTGACCCATTGCTAAAATACTCTTTAGATAATATTTTAAAATAATAGACCAAATGACTGTAAAGTGCCTGGAAATTTAGTCTACAAAATTGTACTTGTGAGGAAAAGGTCCAGAGTTCATAGAAGCCAACTCAATGTTTTTACAAAGAAATATACCAGACTTACCAAATTCATAACATATGAAAATGTAAGAACAGAAAGGACATCCAACCAGTATTATTAAATCTATTGTCATTTTTAGGTGATGGATTGCTACAACTATCATGTCCCCTCTTGTGTCTATTTACATTTTTTATAAGAGGGTCTCCTTTTTATTTTTTAAATATATTTTATTGATTTTAGAGAAGAGGGAGAGAGAGAAACATCCATGATGAGACAATCATGGATTGGCTGCCTCCTTGCACGCCCCCTACTGGTGAGTCCACAACGCAGGCATGTGCCCTTTGCCAGAATAGAATCTGGGACCCTTCAGTCCACAGGCTGATGCTCTATCCATTGAGCTATTAGGTCTAGTAATAATTAATGTCGTTTTCTAATACTTTTTTTTTTAATCGAATTTATTTAAACAATACAACAAAATTTAATCAACAATATAGTTGCCGTTGTTTTCTACTACTTGTGCCCAACGCTCAGGAAGCATTTTAATCCCTCTGTTGTAAAATTCTTGCGATTTTGATGCAAAAAATTCGGTCAATGCATTTTTGAGGCATTCTTCATTATTAAATTTTTTTCCAAGAAGAAAGTTTTGCAAAGAACAAAACAAATGGTAATCGGAAGGGGCAATATCAGGAGAATATGCAGGTTGAGGGAGAACTTCCCATTCCAACTGGCGCAGTTTTTCAGCAGTGATTCTTGCAGTATGTGGTCGTGCGTTATCGTGGTGAAGAATTACGCCCTTCCGATTAATCAGCGCAGGTTCTTTTTCTCTTAAAGCTTGGGCTAACCTTTCCAATTGGGCACTATACACTGCACTTGTAATGGTTTGGTTAGATGGTAAAAGTTCATAATGAAGAATTCCTTTAAAATTCCACCAAACACACAACATCACTTTTTTCGCATGCAAGTCAGGTTTTGGCGTGGGCTGCGGAGCCTCATTTTTGTCCAACCATTGAGGCCGCCTTTTCAAATTAACATACAGCACCCATTTTTCATCTCCAGTAACAATTTGCTCTAAAAACGGCAAACGGTTTTCACGAGAGGGGAGCGAACTGCAAATTGTGACTCTTTGATTACGGTTGTTGTCGGTCAACTCATGAGGAACCCATTTTCCAAACTTTTGGACTTTGCCAAGTGCACGCAATTGATTGGAAATTGTTTTTTGTGAACAATTTAAAGTTGTCGCAAGCTCTTGTTGGGTAATTTGAGGATTTTGCACCAAAAGAGCTTGAAGAGCTTCTTGATCAAAATTGGACACACGGCCTTGACCACTCTTGTCATCTAACAAAAAATTTCCCTCGCGAAATTTCTCAAACCAACGCTGGCATTTTCTGGCGCTAACTGCATCTTGACCAAGAGCACTACAGATGTTTTTTGCAGCCTCACTTGCTTTTCTTCCTAATTGGAACTCGTAAAGCATGCAGTGCCGAATATGCTCTTCATCCGCCATCTTCTTAGCCCTAGTTTTGCAACAAAAACCAAACCAAACACAAACTTTTTCAAGCAAAACTTGTTAATTGCACTTCACACGTTCTGTAGATACCACGTGTTTGAAGGTTATGTCAATACAAGTCAACGCCAAGCAAGATTTTAAACGAATGTTTAAAAACGACATTAATTATTACTAGACCCGATAAACCAGCTAGGGCCCCTTTTTAATTTTTTAATATTTTTATTGATTTCAGAGAGGAAGGGGATGAGAATCATTGATCAGCTGCCTCCTGCACGCCCCCTAGTGGGGATCGAGCCTGCAACCCAGGCAAGTGCCCTTGACCAGAATCGAACCTGGGACCATGCAACTTCTACCTTTCCCCTTTAGAACACCCACTGGCAAGTATAGAAATCCAGTTAAAATACTGAATAGTCAGACAGCACAAGGAGAGGGAGTCCCAGCTACCAGTCCCCAGACAGTAGGTAGAGCCATCTCAGACTTCCCAGCCACAGCCAGCAGCTGCATCCATGACTGAGGCAAGACAGAAGCAGACCTCCAAATAGGCACCGTCAACTGACACAGTCGTGAGGAATAACACTGTGGGAAGCAGGGAGTTCAGGTGGATTATTACACAATGATACGTAACAGGTCAGAAAGTATAAGGTCACACAGGAATGAGTCGCTTATTCAAACACAAGAAGTTATATGATTTTGAGTTTTATTTTTGGAGGGTAGAAACTACAAAATTGAACAGAAGAGAGAAAAAAACACACCAAAATCCTGAGAATCTGATTCAGTATTTAATCCTTGTATTCATTAATTCTGATAACTAATTTTAAATATAAGTGCTTTAATTTTATATTCACAAACTAATTACAAAATATACTAAAAAGAATTTTGTTAGGGTTTTTTTAAAATGCGTGTCAGAGGGTATAAACCTCCCTACTACGACTTACTTTTTGTCCGTTCAACAGAAATTTTTTTTTTAAATCCTCATCAGGAGATATGCTCATTGACTTCAGAGAGAGGGAGAGGGCAGAAGGGAGAGAAATACTGATGTGAGAGAACATCAATGGGCTGCCTTACATACATGTCCTGATCAGGGATCAAACCCACAACCTAGAGATGTGCTCTGCCCAGGAATTGAACCCACAGCTTTTCAGTGCATGGGATGACACTCCAACCACCTGAGCCACCCTGGCCAGGTCAGCAGAAACTATTTTTGTTAATCACCATTAACTAGTAGTGGTCTCTCCCAAATACAGTAAGCTTGCATCCCTGTGGCGAATGTGAAAGACACTGATTTCAGGGAAATTAGCATCCAATCAGGTATTTCGTAGCCTTTGGCAATTAGAAAAGCTTAAAGTGCCTGAAAGATAGACTCTATGACAGTGATTTCCAACTGGTGTGCCGTGGCATGTTTAATGTCACTGACCTCTTTTTCCTTGATTGTCAAAAAAAAAAAAAAAAAATGAAAACAGCAAACAGAACAATAGCTGTCCAGGGTGAATGAATCAAAATTATACCTCTTTTTTAGTCATATTGGGAAAAAATGCATTTTTTATGTGCCATAAGATTAAAAACAAAGTTGAAAATCACTGCTCTACCATGATGTTCAGAGAAGGAATTTATAACTTACACAGGTATCAATAAAAATATTTAAAAGTTAAAATTAGACTTGCATTGTTAAATTTTGTAGAATTGCATTGTTGAGGCTTATCTTAAAACTGCATAGTTCTATAGTCACTATATCAAAATTTGCATTGTTGCTGCATCAGAGGAAGCTTAAAATCAGTATTACTACTTTGTATGTCAGTATAGGTTTAGAGAACATGATTCTATTAACGTCTACATTTCCTTCAAGTCGACATTCCTTACCTCACCAACCCACTCCCAGCACCCAGTTCACATGGTCTGATTGGAAAGTGCTTAATGCATAATGAGTCTCTAGAGATGAGCCGCGTTCATCAGCTGCATCATATCCTGGAATGCCTGGAAGATCAGCTGAATCAGCTTCTCTGGGTCAGTCTCCGCACAGGATTTCCAGGCTGAGCAGGCCACAACAAACCTGCAAAGAACAAATAACAAACGATTGAGTATGAGGTGAAAATCACAACACCGCAAGGCTCCACATGGCTGGCGGCGAGCATATGGAGCCTGACTCCCGCTGGCATGAGGTAAATGGAACCTGACGCATGGAAAGCACAGGCATCGTCATACATAATGCTGGGAACACTGCATGCGCCACGTGACTGGAGACCAAGGACAAAGGGGGACAAGACACGAGCCAGAGCTCCCAGTGTGTGGAGCAAGGCCTTGCTGTAAACACCCACCTCTCCCCTAACACAGACCTTCCTGCACGTCCTCTGTATGAAATGAGGTGGAATACGAATTCATGCCATTGTTTGCAATAAAACCTGAACTTTTTAAAAAATATTTTATTAATTTTTTTTTTTTTTTTTTTTTTTTTTTTTTTTTTTACAGAGAGGAAGGGAGAGGGATAGAGAGTTAGAAACATCAATCAGCTGCCTCCTGCACACCCTCTACTGGGGATGTGCCCACAACCAAGGTACATGTTCTTGATGGGTATCGAACCTGGGACCTTTCAGTCTGCAGGCCCACGCTCTATCCACTGAGCCAAACTAATACCTGAGCAGATTATATTTGCTCAGAGACACACAGAAAGCCCTGCCTGTTTCCACCCAGTGGTTTCACATAACTTGTCATTTTCCAACTGCATGTAATTGTCAAATACTTAGCTTCATCAACACATATTCCTTTTCAAAGATCAACAATTCCTATTTAAATGTCAAAATTTTTCAGAAGTTTCATTTTCTTTCTAAATTATGGAAAGAAATAACTATCTTCACAAAAGAATGTACACAGATACCAGTAACAAAGAAAAGGTTTGTTCATCAGTAAAAAATTCTTTTTGTTATTTTTCCCTGTAAATTGGTAAAGAATGTTTTATAATGCTTAGAGTTGGTAATGATGTGATGAAAAAAGGATATATTATTGTTATTTGTAATAACGAAACACCTGAAATTGTATGTAAGAGGTTAATTATGGAAATCCTTAAGACTAGACATTATTCAATCATTAAAATAGCTAAAAGAATAGTTTATGCATTGGAAATTGCTTTAAATAATATTAAATGAATAAAATTCACATAAAGGACATGAAAATATTTATATGATCGACATTTTTCATTATTGTACAGATGTTTTACAATGAGCATGTAGTACATTAAAATAAAATGCTATATCAAAAATAAACCAATTTTCTTCAAGTCATACAATTTTCACTTTTAACAATCAATGAGAAAATCCCTTCCAGACAGCTCACATACATTTTCCATCTGAAGTGCCTCCAAGCCTGCTCACTGCTTGCTTACATGCTGAATGCAGCCACATTATTATTACTTTTTCTTAGTTGTTCCGGTATGCAGGTCTCTCAGGCAGGGACTTCTTTGTTGAATTATAGGTGGTTATTTTGTCAAAATGTTAGGGGGAGAGGATAAATGCACCCTCACACCACTATTCCTCTGCCGTCACTCACCACATTATCTCTCTATATAAAAGCCTAAGTGACTGAATGACCAATGACCAGCCGGCCAGTCGCTATGTGATGTGCACTGACCACCAGGAGATAGATTAGGGGTGTCGAACTCAATCAGAGAAGGGGCCAAAATCTAAAATCCAGCCTAAATCGCGGGCCCAATGGTTTACTGAACAGTCATAAACTGTTATTGTGATGGAAAAACGCAGCGGAGTGCAGTGATGACAGCGCAGTGGGGGCCACATTGCAAGGCCTGGCGGGACGGATTTGGCCCGTGGGCCTTGTGTTTGACACATGTGAGATAGATGCTCAACATACAGGATCAGGCTCCCTCCGGTCTTGACCAGGCCTGCAGGGATTGGGCCCAAACTGGCTATCTGACATCCCCCGAGGGGTCCTGGGTTGCGAGAGGGCACAGGCCAAGGGGCCCCACCAGTGTACAAATCCGTACACCGGGCCTCTAGTTTTTTATAAAGCTTCCCAGGCTTGGGAAGGTCCCTGTGAAGAGCCTGCCAGACTGTGAACAGGGCCTTCAAGCCCTTCTGTCATTTCTATGTGACCTTCTTTCCCACCTCTCTCTCCCCTACCAGGCTTTAATATTTTCTTTCTTATTCTTTCCACAAACTCCAGAAACCCAAATAAAATACACAATCAGTGGTAAAAATAGATAAATAAATAAATAAACAAACAAACAAACAAACAAACAGATTACCCATTAACAAGTAGCATATGATAAAACAAATGGAATGACAGTGTAGGAAAGACACTCAGACAACAAAAACGATAGCTTTCTTACTCCACAGCACAGGAAGGATCTGCAGGACGGCCTCACCTGTCATCTCTGATGTGGTAGAAAACCCCGTAGCCGCTGTGCATCATGGGCACCACCACTCCCTGGACCCTTAAATAACCAATCAGACTTGTCGAGAGCACGAAGTTTCCACCTCCTCCACTGCGCACAAAGGAAAGAGATCACAAGGGTCATACCGAAGCTCCAATTGTTTCTGAAGAGCTTTTAACGTGGGGGTTGGGGGTGGGGTAACCGGTAAACATAAGACACTACCTTCTATTACCTTCTGGAGAAGAGTGGGTCGGTGAAGAGCTCTGGGACAGGGAGGCCTTCCTCTTTTGCTATGAGTGAAAGACCTAAAAGATGACGGTCAAATCCTACAACAAAACCCCAAACCTGAAGTTAGAAAAAAACTTTCAACAAGAGAGAATTTGGTTCAAGTTAGAATAATTACAATGTGAGTACCTTTTCCAGATGAACAATCTTTCATCATTTTATTATGTTTTTCAAAAGCTTGTAGCATCTTTTGCTGCCTCTCAAGAACCTGTTTTTAAAAATCAAGAGATACTTCACTAACAAACGGTACAGAAGCCAAACAGATAAGAAACCTGGGCTCAGAGAAATGAGGCTGCGGGTAACGGGGGGAGGGAAAGGGATTTCTAGGGAAGACCCTGAGACACGTGCTGCTGTGTCTTTTTCTCACTGTTCTGCTGCTTTTCCTTTCCCACAAGCCCTGCATCTCGGTTCTTTCCTTCCAGTGACTGGAAAGCAGGAATTGATGGGAAGCACTGAAGTGACATTATCAAGTGTAAAGAAAGAAGCAACTCTAATTTAAAACTAAAGAACAGTCATACAAAATGATAATGATGCAGCTCTATGAAATTAAAACCATGTAACATGTACTATGTCTATCGAAAGTAAAGAAACACATACAGTGCTAAAGTGGCCGTGGGAAGGAACTATCCCGTTGGCTAAATGCCTCCAAAGGCATAAAACAAAACATATCCAACTGTTCTGGTTCTCACATATCAAAACAAGAATCTGTGATTTCAGAAACGTGCCGCCTCATTAAGAAAAACATCCTCTCAAAAGCACCTTGGGAGTGTCTGCATCTCACTGGTGTTATTCTAAAGGCAGAGCAATCGTAGGGCAATGCTCAAGGCATTGAAGATGCTTTGTCTAGAAAAGGCACCGATAGGCTTCTTCTGAGGGGCTCCCTGTTTCCTATTCTCCCCACATACATCCTTCTCTGGCAAATGAACAAACAGATGTTCTGAAAACTTCAGGCGAAAAAAGGCTGAAAGTATTTTACTGACCCGGGGGAACTGAGGGAAAGAAGCTACTTCTTTAAGGGCCAAGGTTCCCTGAGAACAAAGAAATTCTGTTTAGTCTTCTTTTCAAATACGCACACTGGCAGAAGGATCCTGCATGGATTGGCACCATCTGATGGCTTCCACTGTACACGATCGCACAGTCTCTGTACGGCCATGATAGAAAAACCTTGTCATGGCTGTTTCATAGCAGCAACCTGGGCTGGAAGAAAAAAAATGAAAAAGAATGTATTATTCTAACAAAAATGCTCTGTTATTACATAATGACGCTGGCTTTGGTCAGAGATTAAGTTCTAGTAACACAAGACTACAGTTGATCTTCCAACAACGAAGATGCTAATTCCAGTATCAAAGAATAAAAACTACTCTGGCACGCAGGGTCTGGTGTGATACGGAACGTGTGGAAGGGTTGGCTGCTGTCCGGGTGTGTACACTGGAGTCTGTGGTCTGTGGCCTGTATGCCGCCTGCCCCGTAGTGATCCCGGTCTCTTGCTATTCATGCCCTTCACTTTGATGTGGGATGGACTTAGTGCCTTATTTCTAATGAAAAGTATATGCCAAGTGGTGGGATGTCACTCCTGAGAGTAGGTTACAGAGAGCTCACTCTTACTCCCATCACCTTGCTCTGAGGAAAGCCAGGCTGCCATCCTGGGAGCTGCCTGCAGAGGCCCAGGTGGCGAGAAAGTTGGAGAGGCCTCGGGGCAACAGCCTGGGAGGAATTAAACCCCATGAATCACCACATGAGTGAGCCTGAAGCAGGTCCTCTCTGAGAAAACCTGCCGATGAGAACACAGCCCTCGTTGACACCCTGACTCTAACCTCACAATGGAGCCAACGTCAGAGGCACCGAGCAAAGCTGCAACTGGATTGCTTACGACAGAAAGCGTGAGATGACATGCCCTGGCTGGTGTGGTTCATTTGGTTAAGCATCGTACCTTGTACCGAAAGGTTGCCAGTTCAGTTTTTGGTCAGGGCACCTGCTCAGAATGTGGCTTAATCCCAGTCAGGGTGCATGCAGGAAGCAGTCAATTAATATCTATCTCTATATCTATCTATCTATCTATCTATCTATCTCTCAGATAAAAAGGTAGGGGAAATACTGGGAGTTAGAATGAAGTAGCCATGGTAAAGATATATATCCTTAGAGTTCAAGAGTCTGAAGATGGAAAATGAATGTCCCTCACCGTCCATGAAGTCTATAGTAAGCCAGTTGAAGTGCAAGCTGAACAAATGTATCAGGGTGAAGCATCATCTTCTTGGTTAGCTTTTTGCCAAAATGTGTAAAGGCATAACCCACAACCTGCAGATCAGATGCCTACCAAAAAGAATGAAATGGGAACAGTGAATAATCATCTAAGCAGAACATCCCAAAGATAGCCAGATTATCATTTGCATTACAGTACTTCGGACATAGTTAAAGGTATTAGAGCTATAATTTAAGTGTTTCATACTGTCATACTTACATGCCAGCCAAGTATGCACTTATTTTTACATACAGTAGTTAAAAGAGATAGCATGCCCTGGCCGGGTGGCTCAGTTGGTTGTCCAGTACACCAAAATGTTGCAGGTTCTATCCTGGTGTGATGGGAGGCAATGAATTGATGTTTCTCTCTCTCTCTCTCTCTCTCTCTCTCTCTCTCTCTCTCTCTCTCTCTCTCTCAAAAAAAAAAAATGTAACAAAAAACATAGGATAGAAAAAGAGAGAGACAGCATTACTATCTAAAAGAAAAGTTAAAAAAAAAAAATCCTACCTGCTTGAGATGCTGGGCTTTAGCATGATTGATGTCATTTACTACTTTCTCATCCACAGTGAAAACAAGCTCCTCTGGAAGTGGTATATCCCGTACTTTTTCTGAACCCTGAAAATGGGGAAGAATTAAGAATATTATATTTATAAAAATATGAGGAGAAAGAAAGCTAAAATATTTGTTCTAACATACCTTCCATCTTCCTTCATTCTCCAAAATCTTCTCATCAACATAATAGCTGATGCTTACCATAACCATTGCATCAAAAGGAGCATGCTGAAACAAAAATACACAATATGTTGAAGACATTATATCAAGATGAAACTTGACCGATATTTTATTTTCGCTCTTTCTCCATTCTTTAACACAGGTGCCCTGACCAGGAATTGAATCAGCAACCTCTTGGTACTGGGAGTATGCTCAACCAACTGAACCACAACAGCCAGAGCAATGTCCACTATTTTTTTTTATTTTTTTTTTTTCCTACTGTGTAACCTGCTTCAGTGCCTGCAGACTATGAGCAGAGGCCGGGCAATGGTTCATGTCTGCAGCTTGCTCTGGCATGGGGCACATGAAAGACCCAGGGGGTCGGGCCTGCCAACAATCCAAACCCATGCACTCATTCTTAAACAGTATGTTACACATACTGCCTTCATATAAGTGAACTTAAAATGGTCACACTTAGGTGAACAAATAAAGCATCAGGAAAGCATCAGAATTTTTCATATTTTCTTTTTTTTTTTTTAAGTGATTATTAGCTTTCCACCAGGAGATGGATCGGTAGAATTCTAAGTTGAACAGATGTATATCCATTAGTTTTACGCTTTGTAACTGGTTCCAGTAAGAGTTAGAGATTAATGCCATCATCTTAAATGAAGCAATGTATGTGATTATCTGTGAAAATCCTTTGTAAATCTATAAAGCACCGCAGGGTTGTGGGACGCCGTTAGAAAAGGGGCTTGCCAGGTACCTGGGAGTCTTATTAGGTAGCTGTTCCTGACAGGTGGCCTCAGCTGCTGGAGTATCGTGCACTGACCTCCCGCATGAGCCTTTCCTGATGTTGTGGCTGCTATCTATTTGGCAACAGTACACTGTGCTCCCAGGCTCCATGGCCCCGGTCCAGGGCAGCAGAGCTACGTCGTGTTAGGGTGACATGTTAGACACCGAGTTTCTCCTCCTGAACCTGGGCCGCCCCTGTGGGCTGTGTTTGTAAGTTAAGCCTCCCTTCCTCCTCCCCCAGGCTAGCAGTGTCACATTCAGTTCATGAATGGTGACTGTATGTAATGTAAAGTGGTAGCAGCAGCACAGAGAAAACAGCTGTCTGATGTAATTGCCATCAAAGGAACGCGGAGAAAATGAGGCAAGAAGTTTGTCCTTCCAAATAAACGATGGAAAAATTCACTCGCTGCAATGCCTTTCTCCACATACAGCTTTCAAACCTGGAACACCGTTACCCAGCCCATCTTCCCCACAGTCCTTAAACATTGAGCATTATTTCTGCCATTTCTGAACACTCTTGTAGATATGTGAATAAAGTTGTTATGCTTTTTAACTCATCTAGCAGGCCTATGTCTTTACCTAAAGTTCATGGCCATCCTCTATTTGGCCTTCAGGTAGTCTGTCATCTCCTTTGCTTTTGCACAGTGCTCTTAACAATTCCAGAACACCTTTGCATTGCATCCACAAGCTGGCTCTGACTTCCAGTACAAAGAGCAATTGTTTTCTTTAGATGGCTCATGTTTACTGCACACCCTCCCCATTACCTAATGAGGTTCTTCCAACTTTAAATATGTGTTCTTTCTCAGAAAATAAAATGATAATTACTATACTTTACAATATCCATATTTTGATCACTAGATGATATGGGCATTTGAGAATTCTGCACTGTTTTTTCATGTTTCGGGCGGATTCCCAGTAGGGGGCATGCAGGAGACAGCTGGTTGATGTTTTTCCTCTCCCTCTCCCTTCCTTTTTCTAAAATCAATAAAAACATACTTCAAATAATAAATAATAAATAATAAATAAAGTTGTGGACTTTGGTTCTGAGCCCACACCTATTTGCTAGTAATGCCTAATCTCATACAGCTGCTGTGGAAAATGATTTTAACAATGCTTATACAGTGGTTCCTATAAAACCTGGCTCACAGCAATAACCAATAACTACTGTGACTATTAATAACTATTTTTTGCTACATGCTTCTATGTGCCCTTCACAAAGCCCTACAACAAAGCCTATGTAGAGAAAACAAGCTCATTGACCCCAGGATTTTAAATCCCAAGAGGGAAATGTGATTAATTAGTGTAATTGCAAAAGCAGATATTCAAGAACCAATGGGCAAGAACAGCAACAGGACCTTGAATTAAGAACAGTTTTACTTTACATTATGTGAATACTTACTAATGCTGTTTTACATAGGTTTTAAATTGCATTTTCTGTAACATCTTAGGTTACCAGGGAAACCTACCTGTAATTTTAAAAGCAGATTACATGTGGAGATAATCAGACTCATTTTATGAATATATGGGTGTTAATGAATACATATAAGACATGTCCATATAGTATATAGTATATAGTATATAGTATATAGTATATAGAACAGTGTATGGTGTAAGTGGGTAATCTAGTTTCATTTTAGCAATATAATCTGCTCAGGTATTAGTTTGGCTCAGTGTTCCATTGGTCAGTTTTGAGAATACCCTGTTTCCCCAAAAATAAGACAGTGTCTTATATTAATTTTTGCTCCCAAAGATGCACTAGGTCTTATTTTCAGGGGATGTCTTATCTTTCCATGCGCTAGGTCTTATTTTCGGAGGATGTCTTATTTCCGGGGAAACATGGTAGTGCCTTTGTAATACAGCTTGATACCTGGTATTGTGATCCCTCCAACTTTGTTCTTCTTGCTCATGATTGCTGTGGCTATTTGGGGTCTTTTTTTATTCCATAATTTACAATAGCTAAGATTTGAAAACAGCCTAAAGGCCCATCAGCAGATGAGTGGATTAAAAAACTGTGGTACACCTACACAATGGAATTCTACGTTGCTGTAAAAAAGAAGGAACTCTTACCATCTGCAACCGCATGGATGGACCTGGAGAGCATTATGCTAAGTGAAATAAGCCAGTCAGAGAGAGATAAATATCACATGATCTCACTCATTTATGGAATATAATGAACAACATAAACTGATGAACAAAAAAAAGATCCAGAGACAGAGAGGCATCGAACAAACTGTCTAACCTCAGAGGGAAAGCAGGGGAGGAGGATAAGAGATCAACCAAAGGACTTGTATGCATGCGTATAAGCACAACCCATGAACACCGACAGCAGGGGGCTGAGGGCATGCGCTAGGGGGTGGAGACAGCAGAGGAGAGGCCAATGGGGGGAAAAGGAGACATATGTAATACTTTAAACAATAAAGAATTTAAATTAAAAAAAACTAACAAAAAATCTACCTCGTACTATACTTTATACCAAATTACTGTACATACTTTATGAAAAGTGTTACAATGATATTACAAGTGTGTACTGCAAATCTGATTAAGGTTGACTTTTAAATTTTCTTGATCCATAGACCTCCTGAATATCTACCAGAAGATGGAAAGGGAGAACAAAAGAGAAATAAGCAAATATTTTTTTTTTTTTATAAAGAAGGTAAAAATGTTATTAAATATCAGACATTTTAAAATCCATAGTATAAATAAATAATGTTCTAAAGAGCATGTGTCACTTTGGAAAAATAGTTACAAAATTACTAGGTAAATCTAGAAATATCCGCATATATTTCTTTGTGCACAGAACATGTATAACGCTATATATTTTTAAAAAATAGATAATTCTCAATGGTGAATTTTAAAGTGCTTACGCTACATAAAAATATATGCAAATTCAACTTTGCACATACATACAAACTATCAGCTTTACTACAAATGAAAAGAACTTGTCCTACACTCTACTTTCACAGAGTAGAATTCATAACTAAACCTTTTATGATGATGACATAAAAATGCAGAAGTGTCTACTTCATACTACCACACCACAGCATAAATATTGTAGCTTATTGCCATTAAACCAACCTAAAAGATAAAAAAGAAAAGTAACTATAGTAGGTTACTTACATCACAATTACAGCCTAGTACTCCATTAGAAAAGGAAATCAAGTTATAAGATTTGTCACCCCAGCGTACTGTTGGATCTCCACCGAGGATCATTGCAATTCCCTAAAATAATTTAATATTTCCAAATTAAAAGGATCTTAATATTGATTTATAAGTATTTATATCTTAAAACAGACACACACACACACGCGCACACACACACACACATACTGGTACATATATGTAAATATAGTCTCACTTTTCCCTTTCAGGTAAACCAGATTAAAATAATGATAACAGTTATATTCAAGAGATAATAATTCTGTCCTCTAGATATTTCTTAAAAGTCTTGAGAAATCCTCTATAAAAGAGAATACTAGTACAATATACATAAATGTTTAGAGAACATACAATTGAAAGGACAATGTTTTTGCAATTTGAATAGTGTTAAGAGGCCTTGATAAATTCAGTCATTAAAATTTAGTTATGAGAAAAATATTTCAAAATTCAGATCCCACCACACTTGTTTGTCAAACAGTAGGTTTTGGCCCACTAGTTGAGTCATGAAATGAATTTAGTGCATCACAGTATGTATTCTTTACAAAAAGAATCAAATAAAACACAAATATCAGAATACATCACAGATAGTAAAAGTAATTACTGTTTTGTGAAACTTCTATTATATACATGTGAGTGCATAAGCTTGTGTGTGTGTGTGTGTGTGTACTTGTATGTTGTTAGGACGACCTCAACAACTAAGGTTTCAAGGCACACACGTGTGGGTCATAGGTAGGTTCTCATGTGCGAGCTGCAGTCTAAATGTATGTCTAACTGTAATTGCAGTAAAAAAATACTGCATTAAAACATATTCTTCCTCAAGAAATTTGGTGATTCTTTTGCCAAAATAAATTTAAAAATTAAGAAGAGGAAAAGTTGGTTTCTAGCTACAAGTTTATTCAATTCTATCTTATTTTATTGCTATCATTCCATATTGATGAATGTATTATGAAATAATTTAAGTGAGACTTCTAAAAATATGACTTCCACCTTTTATTATTTCCCAAAAAAATGATAATATTTTCCCAGGGGTAAAAAGGTAAGGCCACATTTACCCTTAAACTCACTACAGTCAGTTTGTTCAGTAACACCTAATGATAAAATAAATTACTTACAGTTTAATATAATTCTTAGGACAGACCTCAACAACTAAAATTTCAAGGCACACTGGTGTGGGTCATAGGTAGGTTCTCATGTCACCATTGGCATGAGAAGCTCATTTAGCCCAGTGACCTGTGCAAATTTTCTGTATATGCATTCAATAAAAAGGATTGAGAAACACTGATATGGGATATGCAAAGAATAGTCATACTTCTTTAAACAACGTACAAGATTTACCTAACTGGACCTAAACAATGTGGAAAGAATTCACGAAGCATTATTTATCTACTAGAAACCCGATGTATTTACAAATTTGTGTATGGGTGTGTCCCTCAGCCTGGCCTATGAGCGGGGCTGAAAGGAG